GACATTAACTTTTAGACCGGCCTCATTTAATAAAGAAAACACCTGTCTTAAATCCTGTACATGTTGGTCGAGATTATCACTAGTAATAATGATATCGTCTAAATAGATAAATGTGGACTTTCCAAGAACAGGTCTTAACAGAATGTCCATGCATCGCTGAAATGTTGCCGGGGCCCCTGAAAGGCCAAACGGCATACGCAAAAATGCATAAGTGCCAGACTTGGTTATAAAAGCAGTCTTAGGCACGTCCTCAGGCCTCACCCCTATTTGAAAATAACCAGCCGTTAAGTCTAAAGTCGTCATAAATTTGGTTGATTTTATGTTCCTTAAAATTTCTTCTATGATCGGTAACGGATATACCGGATATTTCGTTATGGAATTTAATTTACGGTAATCAATAGCGAATATCCACCTTTTTGGATGCTCCAAAGGATAGTCATTATTTTTCTTACATAAAACCACCGGGCTAGCATAACTACTTGAGATGGGCGTTATGATCTTTTTACGTAGCATATCGGTAATATGCCATTCTATAATTTTTTCCTTATTCTTATCATACCGGTATGGTTTTTGGCGAACTGGCTTGCATCTCCGGTGTCAATACTATGGTTAGTAACCTCAGTAAATCCTGGAATATCACTAAATAACGAAGCAAATTCACTTACCACTTGTCGGATTCTATCTTGCTCGTCATTAGGCAGGTGGTCAAGTTTTAACATCGGCGGTTCAGCGTTTTCAGTACGAACTGGTTTCATTGTCAGCTTAAGGGACGCTTCATTAAAATCCAGCGTAGCTTGGGCTTCTGAAAGAAAATCTATTCCTAAAATGAAATGTGCTTGCATATTCTTTACTATAAAAAACATCACCTTTATTTGTTCGTCCTTGATACGGATATACAAAGGTACTTTACCTACGCACTTACATTTTTCTAACGACAGTCTTACATTTTTACGACAGTCTGCTCCGCTAACACTGTCGTATTATCCGCATTATATATGCGGTATTTGCGAAAATACTTCCTAAAAAACTCTTCTGCCACACAGGAACACTGCGCGCCGGTATCCAGGAGTGCGGTGGCTGGGATATTATTCACCAAGACTTCAATCTTCGGAAGAGTCAAATTTTTCACCATTACTGTATTTAACTTGTAGGAAGAGGGGTTTTCGTGGCCTTCGGATTTCCGCACCCTCTCGTCAGCAGAAATCCGTTTTAGTTTAAATTATTTTTCCTTTCCGTGCTTTCCTTCTTTTTTCCCTGGCCTTGAGACTTTTTTCCTGGGTTGCTATTGAACTGTCGACGTTCGCCGGCTGTTTTTGAATGCTCGGGTTTCCTTGCCCACTGATTCGCTTTTTCTCTGTAGCCATGTGCTTGAGTTTGCTGTAGTCTTGGCGTACCAAATTGGTTTCGCTGTTGATACTGGCGTCTTCTTTCGACGTCCGCCGTTCTTCTACTTTCAAACTGAATTGCTAGCTCAAATAACTTTTCCAGTGTAGTCAGGTTTCTTAATTCAATAAAGTCTTGCACTTGGGGTAGTAACCTCGGCAAAATCACTTGAATTATTTCAGGATCCGGACGGTTTCCATACAAGAGTTTGAAAACGTGAATTTTTCTTAAAATAAAGCTCGAGAGGTTTTCGATTCTTTGTTGATATGTACTGAAAAGTTCCGTTTCTAATTTCGCACGATCCCTTACAACAGGGAAGGCTTTTAGTAGGGCAGTCTTGAAATTTTCGTAAGTATAGGTGGGACTTCCTGCTTGACCCAAGAGACTTCTGCCTATACATTTGAACCAGTTAAGTGCTTGGCCCCTCAAAGCGCTGGTAGCTAAGGTAACTTTTTGAAACTCGTGCACGGGGTAGAGCATGAAGTGGTCGTCCAGTTTTTCCAAAAAACTGGTTACCGGTGAGTTTCCATTAAACGTTGCTTCTGGTTTCATCGAAGCGCGCATGGTCTGGACGATGTAACCGAATCCTTCCAGGGCGGCAGCTGGCATTTCTGGATTCTGAGCCGTTTCTGCAGGCAGCACAGGTTCTTCTTGAAATTTGGCCATGGTTATTCTTCTTCGTTGGGCGCCACTATCAGGTTCAATGTTCCTTCTTACCTTCTTCGGAACATACAAGGACCTGACTCGGAACAGAGAGCTTACTAAAGCTATGTTCACTAATTGTGGTAAGTAGACAGGATACAGACGAAGGGTATACAAAACCCTTTATTTTTCTCTATATACAATAACTTCCGTACTTCGGAATACACCGACCCGCTACTCGGGGTCTAACGTAAAAGTATAAAAATAAAACTAAACTCTAATTTAACTTTGGAATAATACACGTGGAAGATTGGCCTTATAATAACAGGAAGCGTATGTAGCACAGAGACTGTGAACACTACAATACGTTTGAATTTATCAAGAGGATTAAAACCTCTGGCCTGGAAGGCAAACAGCAACTGCGTAACTTCTAAGGTAAGCGGCCTGCTTTGACTCACTGCTTCCTCTCTCTCGCTTGGCAAAAGGCCACAACTTAAATACTTGGCGTTCGCCAGACAAACTTTGCATAAAAACCTTCCCGCTTATAATTCTGGCCGGAAGTAGAAAATAAGAAGTGATAGTAAAGATTTAAAATAAAATAAACGTTAGTAAAACTTAAGATCCTTACAACCTGCCCTCGCATATAAACACAGAGTGACAAAGCCGTAACGTTTTCGCGCTCTTTCCTTCAGTAGTATTCGCGCACATATACTCAGTCCATAGCTGTATGTCTCTAATACCATATATGCACAGTGTTCAAAACAAATACATCATTGAAATGTATTTGCGGCCCTATAAAATTGATTGGGGCCAGGATGTGGCTTGCGGGCCTCCAGTTTGACCACTGGTGTAAAAATACCTAGATAGCAAACAAAATGTATTATCATTTGAACGAAATTATATGAGGGCAGGAAAGAAAGGTTTCAATCTATGTTTAACTATACCACTTCACAACAGTGCCATAGTCATTTTATTTTATTTTTAATGTATTATAAATTCTCGTCTTCTTTGGTAGCATAGACGGGAACTCTAACCAAAGTGGCTTACCATTAAGTCTTGTAGTTATGGCAGAAATGTATGAAGTTTGTAAACGACTCTTTTATTTAACTCGGATAAAAGTTTACTGAAGGTACTGCTCGTGCTTACACAATTATCCAGGATTTAAGGCTTAAATAAAAAGAGTAATGGGTTTTCAGTTATGACTAAATTAACTTAAGTTGTCCGGAAGGCCACACAGACACAAATGCGTAAGCTGGTTCTGACCTAAAGGCGTGACAACCCTGGTGGCAAGAATAACGCAACGCCACAGAATACTGTTTTCAAGAGAATCAATTAGCAAACGTGGCCTTCAGCAGGCGGAACATTCTCTGATTCTACCCTCTAAGACCTTTCTTTAAATACTATCTCCTTTCTACCTCTTTGAATACGCGCGAACTAGAAATTTGCATTCTGGCAGGGAAATGGAAAGCGAGAAAGACAGGAAAGCAAATTAACATAAAATAACTAGTTAGTAGAACTACATAAATCCTTATAGTAAGCAAGTTAAACATTTTGCAGGCTGCCTAATGCTAAAAACCAATTTACAATATTTATAATGTAACATAACTGTTGAAGCAAAATGTTGTTAAGCAGCTTAGATAAAATTATATGTCAAATTATTAGCTCAACATTGTGTTCAGGAACGCACTTTTATAATGCCGAAAATAAATGCAACACTTCACCCATTGTCAGTAACTCGACCTATTTATGTGGGAGGCAATTTTATCAAAATTGAAATTGATCTTCATTCGAGGTATATTTACTTATCTTTCCTTTTTTTTTTTTTTAGATGATGTAAAAGAGAATGTTCTTTATCTCCATGTCCTCTCATTTTAGGATAGCTGCGGACTTATTTATTACATATGTTGAGGGCAATTTTGTTGCCATTGTTCTTTTTATATATTTTAAGATGCTACCGTTAATTCTGAGTATCTGAAGACCTGGCTCCATTCGGTCGCTGATCCTTTCAGTACAAGAGATAGCTCTAGGAACAAAATTTGACCTGGACTTAGTCTTGAAACTTAGGGACTAAACTCTATAGACACGTAGACAGCGCTTCGGGCTTCTTTGCATTTTTATATGAAAAATAATAAATTTCTATATTTGCGAACTATTCGCAGCTTTGAATTTAACATTCAGTCGAACTTCCATTTTTGGTTAATTTTCCAGTACGCAGGCGCCAATAAGCAACTCACGTATGCGTAGTGTAGGTGAATATCTGTTGATTTACACGTTTTATATTTGGCCGTTATATGTAAATATCGGCCCTATAAATTTTTGTTCCGGCGTATTTTTTTTTCTTGTCTATAAATTTCTTGTTTTTTTATTATTATTTACCAATGAAACAATTCCTGTGATGCATAAAGATAGACAAATGAACATTTTTCACTAATTCACGAAGTCGCCACTGCCCGTGGCGAATAATCAGAAATTAACCTTTAAATTGTTTATAAGAGCCAATTAAATAGTGTTTTCATCTATTTATTAGTAGCTAATAAGTAGTGAAACAGTAATTTAATTATGAAGAATTCTGTTTTTATATTTTAAATGTGTTGATTAAATAAATGCAGAAATCTATTTCAAATGATCTAAATAAGATTTGTGTAGCCAACCTCGTTCCTTTCCTTAATTTGGATAAATGAGCTTTTGATCTGAACTTGTAAAAGTGACTTGAATGCACTATATGCTGCAAGAAAGAGGCAACGCACATGAGGTTTTATATGAAACAAACTCAAGTGTTCGGAGCCTATAATTTTGATGAATATAATACATTTTAATGAATATAAAAAATATCTTTAAATTAGAATATATCAAACAAGGGCTTTAAAATCTAGTCGTTGTTACAAGCAAAAAATTGAGAAATCAATCATAAAAGTATTGAGAAATGAGAGTTTCAAGATACTGAATTAAAGTATTTAAATGAAACTATTTTTCAGGTGAACATGAATTGCTTCAGTACTTAAAGGAGATTGCGGACAAAAACCACCTTTGGAGATCCTATATTGGACTGGGATATTATAACTGTCTTGTACCACATTGCATTTTGAGAAATATATTTGAAAATCCAGGATGGTAAGATTCTTTTTTTTTATTTTTTTTTTTTATTAACTGTTGAAATGCATTAACTCTGAAATATATTAATCACTAATATTCCTACATTTTTCGTTTTTTAATATTAATACACAAGTTGATATTTTTGAATAAATAAAAATAATAAAAAAAAAATAAAAAATGAATAAAAATATTTAACTGTTTCTGTAACATGTAGCAAAGCAATATAAAATGATGATGGCTAAAATTTAGGCATTAGTTTAGCTTTAGAAAGCAAATCCGAAAACTTTAACTTCCTTTATGTAAGAGTAATCATAGTTATATACAGTAATAAATTTGAGCTTGGAATACATGAAAATTTTAATGCATAATTCGGATTTTCTGTATAAAAGTGTTAAAAATTTTCCCTTAAAGCTGTAATAAAAGTGTGTATCATATATTGTAAAAGTTGGTAAAAATACGCCAGCAGTTTAATGGAGAACAAAAACTGCTGTTACTTTGGTTCCGTTGCTATTAAATCGCTTTCAGATTTGAGAAATGGATCTTAACATTGTATTCAAAATTAAATTCCTTGGAATGGATTTCGTACACTTTCTTTTCTTCCAGTTAAACGAACGAAGGATTAGTTATTAGTTTAATATAGCTTTCGTCCATGGGAGTGTAATCTGAATGGTATATTTAGATTTGTATAAATTACACATACTTTCTTAATGTGAACTATACCTAACCCTTTTTTTATAAAAAGTTAAATTTGTTCGCACGCCCGCGTCTATCCATCTATCCAGCCAGCCATCCGTCTGGATTTGATTCTAAATGTCTTATTTTTTCTTCGGCTTTGACACACTGTCAGTCTAAATCCAAAGGAAGAGGGAATTTATCATGTAAAACCACAAGTCAAACAGTCGGTTAACCACTGGACAATTCTACACAGCTTTCTTTTGGTTTAAACTGAATTCGAGATCATCTCAACTGTAATCCACAGCAGTTGAATGTTGTGCTCTCTACGGTCGAGTCACGGCTCTGTCTACAGACTGTATCAGTTATTGCTCTGGAGAATGCCTGACACACGTTTTTATACCAGTAATATCCTCGAAATGCAGGCATTAAGAAACGGTAACTGGATACTTTGGCGAGATTGCTGTAGGCAGACTGATTGATTTTAGCACTTATTCTTACGATACTGTGGCTGCAATAAGGGTTAGAGGCCAGATCCTTGTTGAATATGTTGTCATATTTCTTTCAACTATGCCTTTGCTGTAAGCGATAACGCACGATTTCGCAGGACTCGTATTTTTATCCAATACACAAAATAGGAAACACTGCTTCGTATGGAATGGAATTTGCGGTACCTGACTTGATTCCCATCCGCATGCATGAGATATATTTCAAGGACTTTTAATTTCTCTCCCAGATCTCGCCCTGGGGATCTTTACGAGATAAGAATACGTATGATTCGTGAACGAGCAGAAATGTACCACACTACTATTGATAATCTTATTCTCGGAGTGGCCTAAATCGAAGCTATCAAAAGTATAGATTCAGCGCAGGCGATCTCACTGTGTATTGACAGAATTCGACCAGTGAAACGTTTTGCTGTTCAAAATCGTATGTTTTTTTTTTTTTTTTTGACGCTAGTGTCTTTTTTTAACCTTATTATCCGTGAAAGTTTTAATGACCTCAAATAAACGTCTTTTAATCCGCTTTTTCAACATCTTTATTTAAACTTTAGATATAAGTATATTTGTGTGTATTTAAACTTTAGATATAAGTAATCGAATTGTTTTTTCGTCTGAATACTAAAACATTAGAGGCTAGGCGGCGCAGTAGCTAGCGCATCGCGCAGCAGCACCACAGGTCCGGGGTTCGAACCCCGGGCTGGGCAAGATCGACTCAACCTTTCATCCCTTGGGTCGATAAAATGAGTACCAAGTTTGCTTGGCGACTAAACTTGCGACCAAGCTGACCACTTGTTCAGCCCATATGCTTACGCACCCCGGGGTCCACGGTCAAGAAAGCAGATTTCGGGCACTGCATTGCCTTCGCCCATTAGGGCTGTTTGCGCCACTGAAATTAGTTTAGTTTAGTTTACTAAAACATTAACGTTATTTTGCTAGATATGAAGAGAAACTGATTTTGTTTTGCTTGACGAATAAAATAATATTGTAGTGCGTTAAATTAGCTTATTATGTTCGAGAATGATAATAATTTCTACAACTGAACAGGAAGCCAGCGCTTTTCCTTGAAACGCAAGTAGCCAGTTAAAGCTGAAATTATCGCCAGTTTAATATTGAATTTTGCTGCTTATCAAGCTTATTCATTTCTAAGTTTAATTTTCAAATGTCTGTGGATAATATTTATCGTTTTTAGTTTATCTTATTGCCTGCTAAGAACATTTACTCAATTTCATATTTTTCAGAAAATATAATTTAGAGTAAACACAATTTTGGATTCAGTATCTAAAATGTATAGAAAATTATCTCACATATGTATTCAGAGGTAATATCTTAAAAAGAATTCTGCTTTTATTTTGTGTTCAGGACAACACAATACACACCATACCAAGCCGAAATTGCTCAAGGGCGTTTAGAAAGCCTTCTGAATTATCAGACAATGGTAGCAGACCTTACAGGATTGGATATTGCAAATGCATCCTTACTTGATGAGGGAACAGCTGCAGCAGAAGCAATGGCTTTGAGCATTAGGTTTGTTAATTTTTAAGTAAGAGTTTATATTCAATCAAGTTTGTTAATATGTTTTAATAATAAACTTGAAATTCTAAGTTAATGTTGGAAGTGAGGAACCTAGGAACTGATAAGCGAATAATCGCTAGAGTTCGGTGACAAGAAACAACAAGACAGAAAGCTAACTAACCCTTTATTATTCCAATAAGATTTAACAAAACTCCGCCTGGGAGTGTACACACAAAGCCCGCACTTGGACTTGAACTTAAAAGACTAAGAATTAAACTAAAACTAAGATTAACTAAAGAAATATAGCCAAAGCTATCAAGGTACAATGAGTTGGCCCCTTAACCTATTTTACTATGAAGCTTAGCAAGGGCCTGAGTACGGCCGAGCGGATAACAGCTTTGAGAGAGCGGCCAAAAAGGCAGACGCGCGTAGTTCAGAAACTCTGTTTCTCTCTCTGTCTCGGTAAGTAACTTCGTGGTTTAAATACCGCTCCTTCTCATTAAATATTCAGCAAATTCCAAAACTACGTTCTTGCCGGAAGTAGTAAGTTGAAGTTAAGAATTTGACAGGAAAGGAACTTTAATTTAAAATTTAACTCTTAATAAAATTAACATAATCCTTACACGTTTATTCCAAGCATTCCACCAAACTATGTCCAGCAAATATAAATTTTACATTTTCTACTTTCCATTTAAACATTTTCTCTTATATTTAATTTTATGTCCTACTTTTAAAGCATATTCATGTTACATTTCTAATTTCTCTTTTCCAAAAAGCAAAAACAGACTTACACAAGTTTCTTTTTTTGTAAGATTTCAACTGAATCAAATTCAGGAATAACAAATTTTCATATCACAAAGGCTTCTTAAACCAATACATTTCCATTTTCGCCCAGTTCAGTTTAAATACATACGAAAAAATATTTCATTTCTTATTATGTTACAGACATTAGTGAGAATACACTTTTTTATTCATCAGAAGGATTTATTTATTTACTAACACAGATTCTGCAATCTTTCAAATAGTTTACAAAAAAAGTTCTTGGATTTTCTTGTACATACACTTCCAACCATTAAACATGCGAGAAAACTTGATTTTCATTTTATGAAAACATCACACGGATTCCCAACATAATGCCAACACTCTTAACAGAGCCTCTAAACATTACTGGTGAGTGAGTGTGATTATGGCAAAGCCTCGAGGGCTATATGCCTAATAGGAGGGATGCCTTCGTGGAGGACTTTCTAGGGGAAACTGGCTCGTATGCACGTTACACATGGGGAAAACCACGAAAACGCCTATGTAGCCAGCCCGTTCGCGGGATTCGAACCTCGCACCGAACTACCAGCGTTCAGCGACTTTACCGCTCGGCCGCTGGTGGGCTCTAAACATTACTATATTTAAACTTATCAGAGCCCCGACTTTCTTAACGAGCCACAGGGAAATTGATTCACTTTTAACTGCATTTGTTTCTTTACAGACATGTACATGAAAACCCACATTTAATTCTTTAGCGTGTATTTTCCTATATCACAAATAAAATTTCGAACGTAATTTCTTAAATAATTTCATGCTGCACGAAGTTTACGTATTTGTGATGTCATTGTCTATTCGCAAATTTTTTGAGAGTGCTTCTCGGTACGTCTTTAGACACTTCGAAACTATTTTATCTTTGCTATTGGTATACGTCAATAAATTCTCGATAAATGTTCTGTTTATTTTCAGCTTATGAGTTATTTAAATGCTTAATATATTTGTAGATCGTTTATGTTGATATTTGTGATAAATTTCTTGAGTGTTTTTGAAAAAAGTATTTATTTTATTGCGCGAATGAAACTGATATTTTCTTAAAATTTTATTATTCTGAGTATTAGTAAATTATGACAGAATGCCAGATTTATTCTCATTTTTCGGCATACATATGAATTTCAGTATTTCATATCTTTCAATTTTTCCTATCAGTAATAAATGCAGGATATGCAGACATGAAAATTAAAAATCTTCAGGTAAAAAATGAAGCTATTCAGATCTAGGAATGATAGATTATTGAGTATGATGTGTAAATATTCTTCAAATTAAGCTTATTTTGGAATTACGTAGCATATGAGATGCAAATTTACAGGTAGAAAAATAATGAAGAACAAAGTTTCTACAAAATGTGGACTGTAATTATCCAAAATTAATTATATTGCAGTTCTCAATAAAAGATAATTAAAAAAAAAGAAAACATGCAGGCATTCTCCTGAAACTAAGTGGTACCTGATCTTCTTTCTTACAAAAATGTTAAATTATTACAAAAATGTTAGAAGAATTGTAAATTCTACCTAACAGCTATGATCAAATGCACACTCAAGAATCTGAATAATATTAACTTGAATAATATTCTGAATAATCTAACTTTTTTAGGTCTGAAGAGCTTTTACTTCCAAGTTTTTAATTTATATCTGCATAGCTTGCATTTATTCCATTCGTCTTCTAATTAAAGGCAGGAAAAAATACAATTAGGTGAAAGGTCCAATAACAGGATTCAAAGAATAAAAACTTGGCGTCACGGTAACATCCGCGTATCCCATACCAGAGGTGGCTGGTTCGACCCCAGCTTTTTAAAATGCGTGCAATTATATAAAATTTATTCATTAAAAACTACTGTATTAAATTAAATAATGGAATCATTTAAAATAATGACTGATAATTAAAAAAGCTCAGATAAATAAAAATAATGGTAGATTAAATAATTAAAAATAATAAAAGAAAAAATTAAAGCTGATGTCATTCGAAGCACACGGTTCGAAGCACAATAAGTCGTTGCCAGAAAGCGAAAATATCATCGTTGCCAAAAAATAAAAACTTTTAAAAAATATTGTCTTTACCATAAAAAATAAAATTATTAAATATGAAGCCATTCAAACATAGCTACGTCACTTCCGGTTGTCGCGTGATCTCAACATGTCGTAGGTTATGCCCCTTTTCTGTGCCGTCACTTCCGCCGCCCAAGTACGGAAATCAATGCACTCTTAAAATATATTGACTTCGGAAAAGGCAACATTAGTAAATTTCTGCATGACAGATCTAGTCTGTAAATGCTGTCTCATTTCAGACATTTAAGAATCTTCCTTTGAAATACATGAAATAAGATATAACAATCCTGAGAGCTTAAGATTGTAAAGAATTCATTATTGTAATAATGAGGCATATTTTTTCTTTTATAGATACGCGAAAAGAAAGAAATTTTATTGTTCTGATAAAGTGCATCCTCAGACTATTGCTGTCGTGGACTCGTGCTAGGTAAGAAACATTCACTGTAGCTAAACTATTAGCATATTTTTTCCCAAAGTTGTTTTACAAAAACATCAACTGAAGAAATTATGAAATACAATACAGGCTGATTCAAACCTCTTTGGCAAAACTTTTCAGGAGTGATAAAACACACCTAACAAGCACTCCATCATACAGTGCATAAGCATAACACATGGGGTGAAACTATAGGGGTTAGCAGACATAAGAATGACAAAGGAAAGATTTAGCAGATTACAGTAAAACTTTTATTGAATAAATTACATAAGCTGTTCAGAAAAGCAAATGCTAACGCAAATAAAAATTTCTTAGTTTCATAGTTATTGGCATACATTGGTGAAAGCAAAAGCACTTGGAACAGCAGCATACATGAGGTTTTCATACATGAGGTTTTCAAACGCACCCATAATAATAAGCCCAGGCTTGAGACATTGGGTGATCATTCCGGCCAAGGCTCAAGTCAATTAGTCTATTATCACAGGAAAGTTGCATCCTAGGCATTCAGCTCATCCGCATTAAAACGTGTTGGCGCTCCGTAATTTTGGAACCAGAAAAGTGCTTTAATGTGTGCTGGAATGGAGTTCAGTAATCTAGTAAATATTTATAGTTAAAAAATAGTAGGTATGATCTCCCGTCCGATTGCCCTGGCAAAAGATATGGATCTGTCAAATGGGCATGGGAGTATTGACAAACACTTCTAGTCCAAATGTGAATGTACAGCGTGAAGATTACAGGTTGTCCAGCCGTGAGAATTATGGTAATTAAAAATTCTTTCATATACTTTCGTCATTGAATGATATTTATACAGCAAATTATGGCAAAATAAATGCGAGATTCATAATCAGCATGTGTCAAAGCTTGCACTCTCTGTCCATGGTAAATGAGTAATCATTCATCTTGAAGACTTGAAGATCACCAGACTGTGAACTTACTGTAAGGTACACTTACGGTTTGGGAAATTTATAGTGCTAAATTTTGGAATATCTCTAACCCTACGGCGAATTTCTTTTGTCACACGTCATTTTCTCACATTCCTTGGATGCAAATAGCTGACAAAGAAGCTCCTTTCGCCCAGATATTCGAAAATGCTCTAGGGCTTTACGATCTGGCACCTTTTTTTTTGTAACAAAGCATTCTAGCGCACTCTCTTGGCTTTCTTTGCATTACCATCCGCAGCTCCGCTCATAAAATGCAGGTTCGCTTACTGCTGATTCAAAATTAAAATGCAGCATTCTTCCTGGAGTCCAGAGTAAAAATGACGAGTGCAAAAATCAGGTCACAAAAGTTCGCTGCTTGAGTTATGCCTATGTATTTTATACTGAAAAAAATTTTTTTTCAGATGTGTTAGATCGCCAAATAAAATTTTACACAAGAACTTTGAATCATTCTGTTTAATATTAAAATAATGCTCATGATGCATGTTCATTTTATTAATTGGATTTGGATTTATTAGATTATGGCAAAGCCCACTATGGCTATTTGCCTAACGGGAGGGAGGATTTCATGAAGAGATTTCTGAGGAAAACTGGGTAGTATTCACGTTATATATGTAAGAAACCAGTCAACTTTTTCCCCGGGACTCGAATTCGTATCGAATTACCAGTGTTCAGCAGTCCTATTCGCTCGACAACTGCTGGGCACATTCTACGAATTACGATTTTGTGTTTCCTAAATGTATATTAAAACACGTTATCTTAAAAAAAGCGTTAAAATTGAAGTCTTAGCAATATATTCGAGCCTTGCTTTCCCCTGAATAATAAGAAAGTAAAATTCCCTTTTATCAGGTTTAGAAATATTAATCTCTCTAACTGAAATGTAACAATATTAATCTATTTAATAGAAGTCGGGCAAAATTGCTTATCTTCCTTATAATTCAATTACAATGAGTAGCCGCTTTGTTATGACCACATGACAGTTTTAAGCAAATTAGCTACTGCGTCATAAAGCTGTCTCTAGAGAGCTACGCAAGTAATTAAACGTAAAGTTTAGCTCCTGAGGCAGAAGTATATATGAATTGTTTGCGAACATATGGGAAAAACATGATTTGACGGACTTTAAACATGGGATGATTGAAGGAGCTCAGATGAATTGAAGGATCAAGTATCAGCTAAACTGCAGCACTTTTTATATGTTCAAGAGCAGCTGTAGTTAAAGACTGGTCTATCAGGCAAAAAACTGGGTCTCAACCTGCAACCTGAGGTGATTACCGACTGGCAAATGATCGGGCGGAAAGGATAGTCTCCAGACTTATAAAAGACAACAAAAGGGTAATAGTGAAGCAAATTGCAGCAGATATTAATTAAGGATGATCATAATTACTCCTAATGCACTATTTGTCATACATGGTATATGCAGGCCGAAGATCAGTTCCAACACCGTTAAGGTGTACGACTGAAAGATAAAATGCTTCAAAGTCATTCAGGAAAACAGAGATTGCACATTGGATAGTTGAAGCATATGTTCCAATGAATTCCGTTAAGTTACACTATAAAAATAGATGGACGAGTGAGAATTTGACATAAACATCACGAAAGCATGGTCTCTTTCTAAGCGAATTGCTGCAGCCATATGGCTGATGGAGGCAATATGATAGTTTCGGAAATGGTTTTCTGCCATGCTTTGTACCTTCTAACGTCTGAATAAGCTATCATTTATAAACGTCTTTGGTGACCAAGTACATCCTGTTATTTTGATGGTTTATATCACTGGTGATTGCTGCTTTCAGCAAGAAAATGCGTCCTGTCATAGTGCTGTTTTCATACAGGATTGATTTGAGGATTATGAACGAAAGTTTACTTTGCTTATGTGCCCCCCACAGTTCCCATATCTCATTTCAATTGAGCATTTATCGGATGAGGTTGAAAAAGCCATGAGATGTCTAGATTCATTCGTCAAGCATGGTCTCAATTTTACACACCCCCTGTTAACATCTTCCAGACTCCCTGCAAAGAAGAATTAAAAGTGTATTAAGGGCAAAAGCTGACCAAGGGAAATATCGGCAGTGTGGTCATAATAAAGTGGCGACTTAGTGTGTAATCCAAGTGTCAGAAAAGTTCAAAATAGGTCTAAGCTCGTAAAGCACTTTTTGTAGTTTTTCTCTTTGTATTAGTTATATTCGTTCTAAAAGCTTTTTAATTTGAGTCAGTACCGGTCAAGTTCATACAGTTAACTATAATATTTAATGCAAATTACAATTCTTTACGTGTAATAATTTTTATCTTGGTTTGTTTGACAAATTCCCTTAAGTGGGGAGGAGGCTGTATTTCGAAACAAAAGTAAACTTGCATATGGCGCATTATAATCTAGTTAGGTTATACGCCATAAAAGAATCAAAGGCATGTAATTATGTATTGAAGAATTTTAGCTTATATTGCATGAAACCGATTAGTTGCCTATCATAAATGAATGTATAAATTTATCATAAATAAAATATTGAAGTATCAATAATAAATAAAAAAAAGCTTTATTCATGATTATTTTTCAGTGCGATGGGTGTGAGAATAATCGTTACTGACTTTAAAAATGTTGATCTGACGAAGAAGGATCACTCTGGTGTGCTTTTTCAATATCCAGATACTGAGGGGAATGTCTTAGATTTTACTGACTTAACTACTCAATGTCACAAAGGTGGTGTAAGTATCCATATTTATGTTGTGCATTTACTTCCAGACAAAAACTGTGTTTCGTATTTTATAAAATTCATAATTCGAGCAAGTAATACATATTCTTGAAGTTGATATAATTAACTGATACTCAGATTTAATTTGTATCATTCATTCTTAGGGCATTACAGTGTGCGCAACAGATCTTCTTGCCCTTACGGTTTTGAGACCTCCAGGAGAATTTGGAGTCGATGTAGCAGTTGGTACGAGTCAAAGGTTTGGTGTTCATCTGAACTACGGTGGGCCACATGCCGGTTTTTTCGCAGTCAAGAGCAAATTCACACGTCTTGTACCAGGAAGAATGGTTGGCGTAACAAAGTAAAATAATTTACTTGTAATTAAATTAAAATTTTTATTGAAGGTTGTATTATCTTGTGGTTTTGGAGTTTCGAATTCGGATATATAATAAAATTTTAAATGCTGGTTGATAAAATTTGTAATTTGTTCTTATCTATATGAATAACTCTTTTTTCTATTAAGAACTTATAAATTTCCGCAGTAATATATATATATATATATATATATATATATATATATGTATGTGTGTACGTGTATATGCGTTTGTGCATGAGCTCTCGCGCGCGTATGTGTGTAACAGAGGAAACATTCTAACAGAAACACATTGAGTTTTCTTACAGGTTTTGTTATATAAAAATTCAAAATTGAAATAAAATTTTCCTCGTGGTATAGCTTTTGTAAAGCTTTCTATGAGTATTTAATTAAAAATAATGCTCTAGAAAACCTACTATAATCAAAATAAGAATTTTACATTCTATTTATATTCTTTCCAAGAAAGACGCAATTTGTGGAAAAGAGAAAAATGTCTGAATGCGAAGAAAGCTGGTATGTGTAGTGCAGATGAATTGGAAATGGCTGGGAGTGCGGAAAGAAAGAAATTGCATACCATTCTAGGGAACTTCTTATTTGGATAGAACAATGATAAAAAGCACCTCATAAAACAATTCGTTATATTACTAAATTTTGCGTTGACACACTAATTTGAAAACATTAAGAAGGGGGCAAGTTTTCACATATAACGTTGCGCAGCAGTATTTTAAATCTGTACAAAGTTAACATAACTTCATTGAAATATAAAACTGAAACAAATGAAGAACGACTACCAAGAAAGGAATCTGATAGATGCAAAATATCTTCATTCAAAAATGTGTTAGAGTACACTAGGATACAAAACAAAAACTCCCATGTGACAGCCTGCAGGCACGAAAAATGCAATCAGCAGATAATACGACCACTCCTGTTTGCAGTCCATTTGGTACTATCTGCTCATGCTGAGTTAGAGGTTGTCGATGAGTTCTTGAGATATCACGGCCCACTCGTTTGTATCTCCGATAGCAAATGCAGAATCATATCTAGCAGCTGGCGTCCTGCTGTCAGATATGTCTCGAGAAGGCCTTGCGCATGTTCAAATGGAGTTAGGTCCAAGGACTGTTCGAGCCAAACAATGTGGCGAGTATCTTCTTTCTCAAATAGCTCAGTGTCAGACATTGTAAGATGAAAAGTAGCTTTCGTCGTTCACCATGAGAACCTAAAATTCACAGTGCCGTGGAAAATCCAGCTATAAGGAAGGAGAAATTCGGTGCAACAGTGGTCACCATAAAATGAGCATCCTTGGAAAATGGGGAATTTTATTGTTTCCCATATTACTGGCTTTAATTAATTATGGCAAAGATAATTTTGCTTAAGTTCTACTTCAATATTGATTGAGAGCCCTTTTCTATACTCTCGAATGCTTTATATTATTTTTTATAGTAACAACGTATCCATGTTTTAAAGGCATGTAGTCACCCAGAAGAGATAGAGATTAGTGACGAAAGCCCGGTTTTTGAATCCCGAAGAAGGAATGGATGTTTATAAATGTACAGTGCCTGTGCGGCATGAGGGCACTCATAATACAGGGCGAGATGAAAGACCTCTCGAGGTAGGGTAAGAGGAATGGGAGACTCTCGGACCTGTAACCCGAGATGCTCTCCTTCAAAATTCGGGAGGAACTTTCTGAGCAGAACAGGGCAGAGTCGGACTGTCACCTGTGTGGTGATCAAGGCTTATGCCATTGACAAGACGCAATCTTGGTTTCCTTGCCACGATCAAATCGTAGCCTTGTTCTGATTAAATAAGACAAATTTGATCAACAACTGTAATAAAACACAATAAAAATATTTACCTTTTCTTCTGCTCTATAATCAATATGCATACTGATCATGCATTAAAATTAATATCAAAGTCTTAGGAATCTATATTATCTGATTATCTAATATAGTGAAAATTTAGGTACTGAGCTGTAAATGTACCTTCACAGTTGAGTCTCTATAGGCTGTAAATGTTCCCTTTCTAATAAGCGGTGATGAGTCAGAAAATATTTCCTGTATATTTCTTGCAATATGCCGGAAACTTCTTTCACCTTCACCAGACTTGTGTTCCATTCAGAAAAGATTTCCTAATTTTCTTTATTTAAGTGTTTTTGTATTTTCTGTTATTTACTCTTCCTTCAGTTTTATAAACTGAAAGGTTTTAGGCATCTCTTTAGGTTATATTATATATATGTGTAATGAATTTAGACTTGGGAATATATTTAGGCTGTGGAAATGAAACAACATTTTCTCTGGAGAAAGAAAGGGTATCAGCTATCTTGCAGTTAACAGGGTGGTGATGGATGATTGCTAGTAGCTGTAGTAGGGTGGTGATGGATGACAATTATGCTCCATTGTAGATGACTACACTTTTAAAGAATCAGAAGATAAATTTTTCTGAGGCATAAATTTATTTTCTGAAGAATGATTTCTTAGAAATATATATTATGAACGCATATGTAAAATATAAAATATGAAACTAAATCATTGAGAAAATTACTAACAATTGGAAAATATACCTTTGAATTTACTTTTTAGGTTTTTATATCGATATATTCTCCTCTTAGGTAACGCATAAAAATTTTTCTGCAGTGCGGCTATCTCGTAGCCAATCAAAATTCAAATGTAAGCAATAGATCCGAAGCTAATAAATAGCTGAGTTACTCTGTGCCAGTTTTCGCCCCTGCTTCGCCTTGTTTGCTGCTGACAACATGAGTATTCTAATCGCTCCGCTTTGTGCATTGTTCTAAAAATGTAATCCATTATATAAAAGTGTCTCCATGAAAATGATATGCAGTGATATGTGAACATGTTTATGCTCAACATGAATGCCCATGAATAAATAAATGTGTTTTAGTCAAGTCTGTTTCCTTTATGTCATTTTGTGAATCTACGCATCAAAGCCTTTCCAAATAATTACAGATAATATCTCATCGTTCCCAGCTATCTTGTAATCTTAAAGTCATCTGCGGGATTATTACACACACATACCCATATACATATATAAGTCATACACATTTAGACATGATTAACATTTTAGTTTGCTAAAGAAGCTTCTGAAAATTAATCTTACTTTTTACAGAGATTCAGCGGGTAATTTGGCTTATCGACTAGCTCTACAAACTCGAGAACAGCATATTCGAAGAGATAAAGCTACAAGCAATATTTGCACGGCTCAGGTAAGAGAAGGTTTCTTTTCATGTGTACAAAAAGTACTTAAACACTTAAATAATGTTTGAACTTATAAAGCTAGAGTTGTGGGAATCGTTTCTTTCCACAGTTAAGTGACTAGGCTGTATCATATGAGACCAAGGAGGTTAGAATAGAAGGAGGGAGGGTTCACAGTTTCCTCCACTATCGGGGAATGAAGCTCCATGGAACAAGCGGCGTCCATGTTTGTAACTTCAAAACATTTGCCATACGGTAGTGAAACGTACGTGTTTCTCATCTGTTAAATGCAGGGATTTTCCAGTAAAAATAGCTTAAATTTATAATGAAATGCTTCGCTATTGTTAGTTTTTTGTTTTAAAGTTATAAAGATGATATCCGTAATTTACTAAGTACAGAAAATCATTAAGAAATAGTTCGAAATCTAAATGATGTTTCTGCATAACTTCAAGAATTTGTATAGGTTTTATTATCAACTTGTTGGGTATACTTTCCAATTGTTTCTTTAAGAAGTGATATTTCTGATTTATTCGCAATATTATTACAATTTATTAAAGAATCACTTAGAATAATTTTTACCTGAAATTAATAGCAGATAATTATCTAAAAAAATGGTAACACGTTGCTTTTTTTAAATGAATGTTTTAAATAGATTTTTTTCATAACCAACAACCTTATATCAACAAGCAAATAAATATTAAAAAAATAAACCAGATTTATGTGAATTCAATGATTTCAGTTTGTGCGCGTTTCATATTTATAAATCTCAAAGAAATTACCTTGAATTAAGCTGAATTACAGAAATGTACCTATATAAATTTTTGGATATATCTTTTCACATGTTCAATTGTGTAAATATTTTACTTACGTTTTATCGCAATATTGCACCAGAAATTTGTAAGCTTTATGCAAAAAACATTTTTAACAACTGAACAGTTTATCTCGATCAAATGCACAAATTATATTCGTAACAGTTCACAAAACTTAAAAATGAATAATAATTAATGCATAATGAGAAAGCGTTGCTTTATTTAACACTTTTACAATTCATAAAAATAGTAACAATTGATTTCTTACTTTTCATGAAAATTATAAAACTATTTACCTAAAGCGTTCAAATCATACAGTTTAATTACCCTAGCACATATCATTGTATGTTAAGGAACGAAGATACCAGCTGTAAGCAAAAACATTAAAATGTATTTAACATGTTTCGATTATTATTATTAAGTCTTATTTTTCACATCTGGAAAGAAAACAACATGACATTGTGATATTTTTCAATATATTTATGAAATTACACACACACACACACACAAAGAAAATCAATACTTACGAGTGAACAGTAATCCCAGGAATATTTTTTGAAAATCTATTTGTGCATCCATATGCAATATAAGCTGACATGCTTCAAAAAAAAAAAAAAAAAAAAAAAAAAAAAAAAAAAAAAAAAAAAAAAAAAAAAAGTGGAAAAAAATGTTACAATTACAGACTTCCTTGCACAAGTCACAGTGATAACAGTAACATGGCCGCCAAGCTTCAGCGTTTGTGTTGAACCTTCCCTCCTTCTATTCTAACCTCCTTGTATGAGACTGATAATAGCGCCCCTAGAGGCAAATTTAGGAAGTTCGAACTCCCGTCGCGAAAACTATAAAAGATAGCGAAAAAATATAAATAGCAAACTTGTACAGAAGTTAGTAAAATGAATTGACTTCCTCCATACATATTAACTTGAACAGATGGTCTGATATGCATGTTCAACGGTTTTACTACACCAGCATAAATACCTCCATAGTGCCATCGCGAAGAGTAAAATCTTTGAAAAGATTTTATTTCCAAAATAAGTAATGGTTGTATGGTATAGTATTTCCTCGAAATTTAGCACTTAATCGGAAAACGAACCATAACATAATCTTTCAGAATGCTCATAATACAAGCTGTAACAGCCCCCCCCCCGCCGAAAAACAAAACTCAAATTGGAACATCAATCAATTCCGAATGGCCTATCGGAGTACAGACTCAAAGCACGTGCGGTTTTAATAACGAATTGCCGTGTTTGTGAAGATTAAGAATCTTCGTAGTTCATTATGCCCCCTGCAAAAGTTGCGTACCACAAGGTTTAGTGCAAAAAGTATACAAAGGTTTTCAGCGTGCTTTTCAACCGTAGTGATCATAAATTTCGATCCCTTTTGAATTTACGTTTTACCCCAAGAAACGTTTGCACTTTCTTACTTTGTGCCAAACTTACAAAATATTGCTGTTAGCTTGGCTACTTAAGAAAGGGGTGAAGAAAGAGCCCATTTTGCTGTTGCATATTAAATACCTATTTCGCGGACTCAATAATGTTTCTCAACAGTTATATAATATAATGGTTTTACAGCATTTTATGCACATAATTGTAGATTTTGTGCTTTCTTTCTGTAGCAGCCTGTGTGCTTTGCCCTATCAAATAAACAACAAAAGAAACAAGCAAACAAACAAATAAAACAAAAAAAAGCAGGAAAGAAGGAAAGGGGGGAAAAACACTCTGTTAGGCTCGTAATACTTTTAGATGAAATATTCTAGTTGTTAGAGGAATTTCTTTGAAATGTTCTTTCACTTTTTTATTTAGTATTTTGAAGATTTTTATGTGCAATTAAAGAACCTTTTTTACATTCGAGTGTATCTTGTTTCAAATTAAATGCCATAAAATCCAATTATCACCTCCCTTCTCTCAAGTCCTTAGCCTCAGGGTCTCCTTTATAGTTAAAGCATTTTTGATGAAGGTTATATTGTTATCTCTGCAAGTACTGCTATAATTAACTCTTTTACAATTAACCTGTTCATTCGACTCTCATCCAAATCCGAATAAAAAATTAATTTATTAAAGTTCTTTATCATTCATTTTCAAAAATAGTATTTTTATACTAGATTTCGAAAATGAACTCGCTTCTAGATATAAATGCAACTCTTACCGTAACGAAACATTTGTTTTAAATAAGCTTCTCTTCATCATGTGATAAAAAAGAGCATTCCTTTAGAAACACAATGTTGAATGAAAGCTTGAATCATTCCTATTTTTCCTATTGATACAAAAATAACAAAATTTATTTTCTGTGCTTAAAAGTTAAATAAAATACATCGAAGTGAAAGTTTAAAGTTTTAACAATCAAGAGCGATAGAATTGTGTTTTGAGAGGAGAGGGGAGGGGGGAAAAGAAATGTTATTTTAAACAACACCTAAGAGAAATATTTTGTATTTGTATTTATTATTATTTCCAGGCACTTCTGGCAAACATTTCGGCTATGTATGCTGTCTATCATGGAGCTGAAGGTTTAATAAACATTGCAACTAAAGTAAACAATGCAACTCTCCTGCTGGCTGAAGGTAAAATTTAAATAAATAAAACACCTAAATTACGAATTAAAAATACCTTTGTTTATAAATATTTATTTTTTTGCATTTAAGTTTAGAATTGGAGTTCGAAAGTAATCTTTAGAAATTATTCTCTTATATGCAAGCATGATTTTATCACTCACTCCTTGCAAACGAATTAAAAAAAAGCTATTATTCCGAGAAAGTTTTGGAAGACTTATAAGTTATTTCTCTCGCCTTCTTAGCGTGCATTCGTGGTGTGGTGGTCTGCACGCTGGGCGCGTATTCCAGAGATCCGTAGTTCGATTCCCGGCGAAGGCGTTGCTCATTTTTTATCACTCCTGCTTTCAAAAAATACCTAATGTCACTACAGTGGCGCCCCCAGTCGCCCTTTAAAAGGGGGAGTATATAAAGTATTTCTCCCACCTTCTTAGAGGGCCTTCGTGGTGTAGCGGTCTGCATGCTGGGCGCGTATTCCAGAGGTCCGTGGTTCGAATTCCGACGACGGAGTTGCTCATTTTTCATTTCTCCTGTTCCCCCAAAAATAATTAATGTCTCTACAGATTGACTTCAAAGTATTTGAAGAGTCTTTAAGAAAATATATTCTACAATAATGCATGAAGTAATCATTGAGTTCCCTTTATATGGAAAAAGATTATACAGAACACCATTTTGTTAGTCTTTGTGCGGACAGACTGCCTAGTGTAGAAGGAAAAGCTTATTAACATCGGTGCTTGCATGTCATATTTTAATCATTTATATATTAATAAAATCAAAACTAGATGATGTTAAACCAAGAGAATATCATTCTTTCTAATAAATATAAACATAATAATCTGATCACAGAAGGGGAGAAAGCATTCAACATCATTAGATATGATTACATTAAACCTTTATTACTTCTAATAGATGATAATTATCACAGAGCTGTTTAACAATTTTTATCTTATTTTTACCTTCTGACATATAATTTATTGATATAAAATACACATGCGTCCAAAACTTAGGTGGAACATCATTATTATGCAAAGTAGTTGTCGTAGAATTCTAGCGAATCAACTTATAAAATATGCGCAGTAGAGTCGCTGAATATACACATTTCCAGTTCTTACGTCTAGTGATTACTTGGTAACTCTCGAAAGCAGATGAAAAGGAAATCAGCATTACTGACGAATTACTTTCGTTAAAAATTCTGAGTACGTAAGATTTAATCTACAGGCATGAAATTTTCTAAATGTCTCAAGAACAGGTTGGACGAAACACCAATTATTCATGGTTGGAAGTACAGGTGTAATCCCGTCTCACTAACTATTATGCTCTGCTATAGTTCTAAGCGATTACAGCTCTTACCCTATCACCTTTATTACAGCTCCGATACAGTCCGATATTCTTCCCCACCTCTTTCCTTATCACCAACCATTCGAGAAAATTTTCAGTTCACCGTGTATTTTGAGTGACACCTTGCCACACAGACAACATACACTTACAGCCATCCATGCCTTTTCCATGATTTGACCCCGAGCCCAACGGCAGACCAACCAAGATCCCCATCCACTATACAGGACCAGTTGTGTCAAGAACACCATATCTGTGATTTTACAGGCGGAAAGATTATAAGGAAGAGAAATCACAGTTGCGATAGGGTCGGAATCTAAAAACGAAATGTTTTCTTCAAGTTATAGGTTAATTTTTCAAGTAACTGGAGTGTGTTGCAGAAGCTCTGCAGGAGATCATCTTTGCTCTGTGAGTACCTGAGCAAGATAGCCCATCAAACTGTAGTTTGGTGCTTGAATTATACAGCGATATTTGCTTTTGTAAGCGGACGTTTTTAATGGTAACAGGTGCGTAACGTTTACGCTAGTAAACATAAAACTCAAATTGGACGGATGTAGAAATGGGCTAATAGCTTGTTCTCCGATGAGATTCAATTCAGTGGGTAGTTAGATTCCAGACGTCTGTTCAGTTGGCATTAAAGGAATAAAACGGGACACCAGCAATGTGTACAAGAAAGGTATCGTTATGGTGTTGCACTGATAGTGTGGATCAGTATTATGATTGATAGACGCTTTGAGCTACTGAGGTGCTTAAAAATAGCACCACATCTATTGTAAGGATGTTATTGAACGCCACGTTCACTTCCTTTGTGCCACTGAAAAAGCATTACTCATGGCGGATGATAATGCCACGCCTTTTTGAATCAAAACAGAAGTTGCTTTCATGGGGAGCGAGGATCAGCATGATCATCCAACAAAAATATCCGTACAGCTTAGGCAAACAAATTGCTATGTTTATATATATACATAAAACCTACTAAATCTGTGTTTGCTTTTGTTTCACTTTCTTTAAAGCATTTAATAGTATTACTATCTCATATTAGGCAGTCCTGTCGGTTTGGGGGTAGAGGAGTCTACTGCCACAAACCTTGGGTCTGGGATCGAATCCTGGAGAAGATATAGACGTTTGTAAGTGTGATATGTTTTTGTAGCATGGGCATTCAAAATACCTCGAGCCGAAAATCCTCTGGAGAGGTTTATGGTAGAAGAAAAGGGGCAGGAGGTTTGAGGGCTGATTCATTGCTCGGGGGTTTTCTTCATCAAAATTGTGAAAGACCTTCCCTTTCTCACTTGTGTAGTTTGGTCGCCCCATGTGATGCACCCTCGGTAACCTTCTTGGTGCTAAATGACCGAGATTTCGACCAAAATTCCATTGGAAAGAAGTGAATAATCCGGATGGATGTTCATTCGCTTGTTTATTCGATTATAGCACAGCACATAAAGGCTATCTGCCGAAGGAGGGAATGTTTCCGCAGAGGTCTTTTTAAGGGATATTATTTTATACTCACGCTGCACAGGAGGACGACAATGAAAATCCCGTACAGGCAGCACTTTCGTCGGTAAACGAACCATGCCTCGCTGCAAACTACCAGCATTCAACCGTCAAAGCTTTGGTGATAAAGGATCATTTCCTTTAGTAAACTATTATGGTTGTAATTTAATTTAAGTAAACCATCCTTTGCCTTTGTGATTTAAAGTTTCTTTCGTCTTGTTTTGAAATTACGTATTTTTCACTAAGCCTTAACTATCTCTGTGATCAATTTTGTCTAAAACATATTAGTGCAAAATTACAGTGTCATAGTTACCCATTAATTTTTATACGATTTTAAATCAACGAATATTTTAAGAAATTAAAAATTGATTGAAGTAATAAAATTTAATCCATTGAACATGAGTTAGAATCACATTAAATTTCAAAAACTGAGAAGCAAATATTATGTTGGTCATATTTTACGGATGAATATGAAGATCTGAATATATGATAAACCACTGAATGTTGAATGTATAAACTAGAAAGGAGCTATTCCAGCTTGATGAGTTGTCTGTCATATTCCTTTTAGGTATCAAAGCGGCAGGACATAAATTAGAGCATATACGATTTTTCGACACGATAAAAGTCATTCCCAAATCAAATGTAAGCAACGTAAAGAGAAGAGCTGAAGAGAAAAAAATAAATCTCCGTTATTTTGACGATCAATCGGTAAGCATAAAATTTTTGTATTCTCGTAATTAAATCTTAATTCTTTAATCGAAGTTTAATGCCTTAAAGTTTCAATACTTTCTTATAATCCTCTTCTACCCCTCTTTTCTTTGGTAATATGTGTCTTTAAAGTTCTCTGCGTAGGTTTTATTAGTCAATCTAAATTCATACTCAGATTATGAACACTTTCAAAAAATGTCATTGTTTGTAGTTAGCAATAAATTCCTGACATTATAAATGGACTTTACTGAATGTCTATGATGCATGGAACCTTTCATTTATCTGATAATACAACAAAACATTCTCAACAATGAAGCAATGTTAATAATTTAAAACGTCGTTTAATTTGGAAATTTTTACAACATTTTGCAATAAATATTATTTTGGATAATGAACTCCATCAATGAAATATGCTTAAATATGTTTCTAGTACCTTGTAATAGGTCAGCTGCAAAATATCTTAAATTTTTAAATTTTTTTATTTTATTATTTTTGTTTTTACTTTGGGTTCATTATCTTCTACGTCCAAAATAAAATCTAATGTTTATGATGAAAGTTTAATAATATATATAATTCAAACTTCTCTTTACATTTATTTTCTAAAATTTTGTTTAAATGGTAGTACAATGTTTTAAATATTTTACTATTTTTTCTGTTTATACCATTTTACGTTAAAAAGCAATGCAAAAAGCAATGGGACTTTTAAAACCGAGATTCGTCTTGAGAAGATTTTAAATTTATTCAATCGTGAAGTTGATTTTGTAATTTGGCAGCAGTAGATATTTATAGTTGAGTAAAAAAGCGAAATATTTTTCTTATTTAAATTTCTTTTTTATTTCTTAAGATTTTAATGGTAAATTTTATTTTAAGTATGAGATTATCCTCCGAAGTTTTCAGACTGCAAGTATTTTAATATTATTTATTTAAGAAATAAATTAGGAAATTAAGAGACAGTATAAAAATTAATGGGTAACCCGCGATAAAACCCTGATATAACGCTTCATTATTTCTCGAGTCGGGCAGTTTCCTTCAATCATTATCACAATCAAAGCCATAACTGCTTTCAACGAAAATGCAGTTGACAGGTAAAAGCAGCATTTAACTGCGTTACATTGCTTCTAAAATACATTATTATTATTTTTAAGAAAAGTGTAACTCAAGACAGGATGCTTTTTAGACTATGACATGATTTTCTAAACGTTTTATCTTTCTCTTATTTGTATTAAAACGTACTTCAAGTAAACACATTTCGTATTAAATTTACAGTCTTATAACTGGTGAATTCGATACATTTCGATGATTCAGATGAATATTGAATTCTCTCTGATTGGAACACAACTGTTTTATTACAATAGTTTTCAAACCATTGACTATTCTTCCTTTTAAATCTTTCTCACCTTTTGAAGAGCACATATCGATCGGACCACGTACAACGTTAATGAGAAATTCACTCTCCAAGAGCTGCACTTCAGTTAGACGCTATTGTGAAGATTTTGATCGATAACTTAATAATTACAGCATTTGTGTTGAGAACAAAAGACCCTGTGTACGATTCAGCAAAAATCCTAATTCGTGTCAATGAAAAGGTTCGTGTATTGTAACGTGATCTTATCAATTAGGAAAAAATATTTAAAGAAATTAAGAGAAATTGAATTTATATATTTACTTTGTATAAAGTCAGTTACTTCAAAATATTTTCATTACAGTATAAAGCCATGTCTCTTTCTGTTTATTTTCCGCTTCACAATTTTACATTTTGTTTATCACGCTAAATTTATTTACAAATATTTTAAGTATTTCGCTTTGCTCAGTTTTTCTTAATATTTTCTGCATCCTACTGAATGTTTCGATTTCTGTATGATTTCATATTATGATACCTTTTCTAGGTAGGTATTTCGTTGGATGAAACCATAGAACAACGTGATCTTGAGGACTTACTTTGGATTTTCGAATGCAAACAAACAGTTGTAAGTTTATTATAATTTCTTTACGTCTAGCAATATTTAGTTAACAAAACAAAAAAAAAGGTTCTTGTTTACAAGTTTCCTTTTACAATCTAATTTTAGTTCATAGTTCTAAAATAAAGAAAACATATTTTTTTTCTCTCGCTGGAAAATAATTTTATTTGCGCTTTATTTTATTTTAATTCACTTTTTTTATAGTAAACTGTAGCAGATATTTGAAAACCATAGAAAAGTACTTTTAGCTAAGAATAAAAAGTTTTTAGACAAGAATCAAAGTAAAATAATTGTTTTGTGCTAGTATGATGCTTCACAGTCACATAATCAGTAGACTTGCTCTTAGTATATTTAATTACAATGAATCCATGGTGATTTCAGTGGCAAACCCACATGGTTTTGTAAGTAGTTTTTGGGACTAAAATGATACTCCTAATTTTGGTATCATTGGAAATATAGAAGAAAAAATAAAGTCTTAGAAACAAAAGGCAAAAATCTAGGACTTTTCTTCTCAATAGCAAGTAAATTAAATTAACTGTCAACAAATTTATCAATAACAAGCAAATTTAAATTATTTTATTATAATACAAATAAAATTTCACACACATATTCCAAAACTAAAAAAATGAGCAAAAGTTTTGTAAGTATACCTAAAGCTGCATTTGAATGGAGACGTATATGGCAGACCGCATGCATGTTTCCCTACACCTAACAAAAGATAATAACCAATAAACTATTCGAAATAAGAAATGAAAGCAATTGCAGCAATAATATGATTATTAAGGAAGGACTAAAATTACTTACGAGTTGAAAGAGGGATTAATATTACTTACCACTGCTAAATGATTTGACCAAACAATTGTAATAGAAAATATTTCCATCTCGAACTATGATGCTGCGATCATTATCGTGGCAAGCTCATTATCAAGTGACTTCAGAGCTTTGGGAGTAGAATTTCCCATTCCTTATCTAGAATACAGATTAGATCCTGTCTGGTTTCCGGGAAAGGACTGCTAACTGCACTTTTTCTTCCCATAATATCCCATATATGCCCAGTGGTGTTACGATCTCGTGAACATACCAAGCTATTCAATTCGACGGATATCCTCTCTCTTCGGAAGATTTTATGCTTTTGTGATTCGAGGATATGTTCTATTAACATCCATAATGCTGCTCCAGAGATACAATATGACAAGTGAACATGGCGTTTAGTAACCTCTTTGCAGTAGAGGTCGCCTAATTTAATAAAGTGTTGCTATTACACAGAAAATGCAGCTCAGTACGTGCAACAATCACGATGCTGCTCTTGATATCCCCATAACGATTAACAGCGATTTTGCCTACTTTCCTTCTGGTATCACTTTACACCAGACAAATTGACGTCTGGAACCTGAACTACTCATGAATCAAATCTCATCGGAGAACTAAATATTATTTCACTGCTGCATCATCATCGAGTTTAGGTCATCTGACGGCTTCCACCCGTTCAGCTATTCGCCTTAGCCAAAAGGAAAAGTATTCTCACTTCAGCCAAAAATGCTTCCTCCTCACATAAAAAAGGGGGCGCAAATAAATTACATTCTCTTTATAACCATAACTTCTGGGTTATTAAATTTACGATACCAAAACATTTATCTATTAAATTTACAATAACTAAGACAAATGCATATAAATATTTTAAAATATTCAAATAATATTTGCATAATATCGCGAATCAGTAGGCACCTTCAAATACTGCAAAGCAACACTTTTTTTATGGAGTGGGAATGAGGATCTTTTCCATGACAATATCATGAATGGGTAATGATAGAGGAAAAATACACTCAAGCACTATTAGAAACATTAAAACAGTTTATTACAATTTACTGAGTCATAGTCACATCGTAAAAGTTACATTGGAAAGGTGGTTACCATTGAAATTAATGCGATCTTGCAGCCAAGAACGAAAGTTTCGCTTAAGGTGGCGCAACGTAGTGACATAAGTTGGTGAAATTCCGAAAAAATGCAACATTTCAACATCTGGATGCAGCACTATCGGATCATAACTTCAGACATGAGATATCATTGACAAAAAAGAATCCATGGCTGTTAACATGGAAGAATGAGTTGGCCACTTCATATTGCCAAACCGCATAATCAGATGGTCGGAGAACACCTTTTGAAGACTCTATCCCTTCGGTATATACCATTTTGTTGAAACCAAGGGCATGAAGTCAGGTATCAACTTCTGGAGTTCTATTCGGAGACTGACCAAACTAACGACACTATACTAATTCAGAAGTCAAGCAACAAAAATCAGCGTTATGTTTTCAAAATTTTCACAGGACATGTTTTTGTTGTTTGACTTCTGAGTTAGTATTTGTTCGGCGTGTTATTGTGTCTTAATTAATGACACTATGTTTCAGCTCATGATGTAAAATTGCCAATTATGCTGCACGATTACATTAATCTTAACCAGAGTTCTAAAATAATATTTTAGACATGAATGTATCATAATAAATCACAAAAAATCCTTTTTCTTCAAGAAATGGTAGTGAATATTATTGTTCCTTTCCCTGTAACTTTTTAAGAAAAAAAAACATGTATGCTTTTCACAATAAATTCGCACAGTACATAGTAGTCTAATGTTTTATGTTTTAGTAGTAGTACGTTAAGGAAACATTGAAAAACAGGACCTAAAGCGCATGTACAATACATTCAACGTATAGTAATAAGGGAGGAATAAATCCATACTTTTCAAGCCTTTTTTTATAATTAGTGCAATCATGTGTAAACTAGAACAGCGTTATACTGTATGTTAATTGATAAATAACATTCTTTCATTATCTTAACATTATATTTCTTTTCGTTTGCTTCTAACATGCAATCTTGGCAATTCATGTGAGAAAACGAAGGGTTTTACTAAATAAATACAATATAATAAAAAGATGTTATTTGACTCACACCATAACCATAATGCTTCGTGTAAATTTTCAGGCAACTTTATATGTCTCATATAGCAATCTGAGTTTTAAATGCCTTTGAAACTATTTTAATTCATCACAAATAATTAAATTATATTACCTGAATTTGATGCTTAACACATTTATTCCGATAAGGCAAAAGAATAATCTAATATTTCCAAGAATGTACCCTTTTTGAAAAATTACTTTTTCTATTCCATCCGAAACTTCTAAATGTTCAAAACGTCTGTAGCCTCCACCGATGGGATCAAAGACCACGGCGTTATGTTACGAAGTACCTTTTCAAATTAATGCAATAACCTCCACATCTTCGTTATTAGAAATGAAACGGTTCAGATAGAGCATACGCTAGGTTAAAAGGAAAGAGAGCCGATGGGCTAAGAAAGAGATCGATAAGAAAGAAAAGCTAAGCCATGCTACCGTCAATTTTACCACTAAGCCATCATCATACTGGAACTTTTTTTAAATCTAACGTAGCCCTGCACGCAATAAGTGAATTAAATAATCAACTAACAGAAAAATTACATTGCAAATAGAAATCTGCCTTGAAGATGAAGCCATGTATAATAATGATACTCGGTAAAGCCCACCGATGGGTGCTGAGAAGATCTAGGGAGACATCTGAAGATAAATGAGGTAGTACTGAAAAGCAAGTGGGTAGTAAGAATATACTTAGAAAGTTTGGTTGCTTAAAAACTTCAGAAACAAGGTTAAAACTTCAGTTAAAATAATAAACTCGCTAAAAGCCTTCACTTTATAGTGTAAATATTATAATCTCGCACCTTTAAAAGAATAATCAAAATTACGCTATTTGACCTTTCAAACATGTTTGGTTACATCTGAGCTACGTGTAGTTTCATTTTTCTATTTTAAGGAATCTTAACTTGTAAATTCTTCATATCATATTTAAAAAATATGGCCAGAAAAGTACTTATAGTGATATTCAGTACTTCCAAACAGTGTATTATTTCAGTACATACCACTGCACCTGTCGGAGGAGAGTAAACTGAGCATACTTTACAGATTCATTATTCTAAGTGGTTTGAGAAATCGTTAATCATTGCTATTTCGTTTCTGTAATGAGGGATAGGCTTAAATAAACAATTTAATGCAGAGAAAGTGCAATAAACACCAAAAATTTCTTATGCATTTTACCACCATTTTAATCAGCGCCTACAGATTATATTCGAAAGATATCTAACATGTCATTGTTGCAAGAGTATAAACTTTGAAAAGGGGTTAGTAAGCCAAAAATATGTTGCGAAAATAGGGGTTATTAATCTGAGAAACTTCTAGATACTATATATTTTCACAATAAAAAATTTGTTTTTTTTTTTCAGGAGGAGTTGGCTGAAAAAATTGCAAGGGCTGATAACAAGCCATTTTGGAAGGAATCACAGTTTGAGCGCAAACAAAAAATTCTTACACATCCTGTTTTTAATAGGTAATGAATGACATTCAGATATCAATATGCGGTATTATGTTCATGATTTCATATTTTCTGTCTGCATTGGTTTGATAGATTTAACTTGTAATTTAAATCGCTGAATTAAAAGTTGTGTTTAAATTATATTTCCAAATTCACTATTTAATTTTTCTGTAGATCTTTCAATATAGCCTTCGTACTTCATTATAAGACCACGTGTATATAGTGTGTTATTTATACCAACTGTATGTGTGTATACTCCGACTTATATTTTTAAATCTGTCATATTTAACTCAAATCTTATTTATGTATACCCAAAATTGGAGGATAGGAACTTAAAGTTCAAAGTTTTGGTTTTGATTTTGTAATACGATGTTTTTCAGGTAGCATTTCTCATAGGTTATTATGACAGTTAGTTTTAAAGTTATTTAAATACAAAAGTAATCTGGCAATTTAAAAAGAATTTATAAAACAGCAGGAAGAATTGAAGCTCGTCTATGTACTTGACGATCGCGAAAAAACGTGAACTTTGCGAAATCATAAAAAATACCCTGAAATTCACGAATTAGTTGAGGAAATTCGGAAAACGATAAAGTTTCTGCCCTAGTTATCGATAACATTTACCGCATAACAACTACTTAAGACAGTAAATTCCCACGAAAGGCAAGATTGGCCCCCACTCGAAGTATGGAGAAATTTATATACCAATTGCATTAGTAAGAATGAGATTATCTACTAAATCGAATATTTGGGATTGATTATGAAACGCGAAGGGAGTTTGTGCCTAAAGGTCTAGAGCAGCGGTTCTCAACCTTTTGACTAACGCGTGCCATCTAAACAAAAATTGAAAATCTTTAGTACCACGACTACAAGTACTACTACCACCACCACTTTTGAGCAAAGCTTTTCAGATCGCATAAATTTACGAGTGTTAGAGAAAAAACCTCAATCAGGATGTTAGGTTTTAATTTTTGAATTTAATAGTTAAAAATATATTGCTTCTTTGCGTACCACCTATTTTTCTCTTGCGTAACACCGGTTGAGAACCCCTGGTTTAGGGTCTAACGCAAGTCCATATTGGAGAATAAAGGAGATTGGAGATAATAATTAGAGAATTATGGTTCATGTATGGCACAAGCTTAAAACTATTGTTGTTGGTCATGCTTTTTGTTAACCCCTGGTTTAGGGTCTAACGCAAGTCCATATTGGAGAATAAAGGAGATTGGAGATAATAATTGGAGAATTATGGTTCATGTATGGCACAAGCTTAAAACTATTGTTGTTGGTCATGCTTTTTGTTAATTTTGTTCGGTAAAGGATTTTGTTGAATAATACAAATGAAGTTCTTCATTATCGATTTTCGAGGAAGGTATATAGGTGGTCCGACCACTATTGTCTGCTGGCCGTTCTTTTTGCTAGATATCGAGTGCTAAAATACGTAATCGATATTTTAACTCGTTCCCTGCCGATCCTTGCTTTTAACACGATCCTGCGTTGGCACAGAAGATCGTCGTATCATCTAAAAGATATCTCGCCCCAGGGCATGATCAGGTGTATGTTAACACTTTGTTTTAACTTTAGTCGATGCTGCGCCTTAGGTGTTTGCAGCTTTATAGGCGTTGTAGTATATGCAATAAATTCGCCTTTTTTGTATTTGGTTTTACGATTTTCAAGAATTTTTTTTCAAAATGTTTCCATAACATGAGTGACGTAAATGACACTTTACGAGGGCCTTCTTTTCTTAAACAACCAAGATGTGAGTACGAGTGAATTCAGATCCTCTGGTGAAGAATTTGTCTCTTGGATTGACGAGTCTGAATGTCTGAATAATCGTATTCGTATACATGAAGAAAATAACGTAGACATTTCAACACAACAAGAATCCTTTACGTCTGGAAACGTAATTTGGGAAGACGACTCAGCATTAGTGAAGTTCTTTCCTTAAATTAGAGTGGCTTCTGGTGAAGTTTCGTATACCTTGGCAGCGAATGTGTTAAGATAATTGGATTCATATTTTGCCCTGTCTCTTCATGACAAGCTATTAATCCAATCATCTTAACACATTCGCTTCCATATGGCATGATAATTGGATTCATGTCTTGCACTGTACCTTCTTCAAGAATAATTTTTCTGTGCCCATGTGTGCTTTAATCCACTGCATATTTATTTTGGTTTTTGGATGGTTGTGCGAATTTTCTTGCATATCTTGGGTAATTTTTTATATTTTCGAGTTTGTGATTTGCTGTTTCATAGAAAGAGGAGAATCTCTCTGTGTATATGAAGAGAATGGGAATCGTATTTGATGGGAGTATTGTGCATTATAGGGTAATCTACTCCTTTTTTGTATGACATTTATTTGTGCTCGGAATGTACTTTATAATACTTTTCCTTGTTTGTATTTCGGAGGCACTAGCAAGAGCGGTGGGTAAATACATTTCTAATACTTAAAAATAGATTTCTATTCTCCTTTTTTATGCAAATTCAAAGAGGGGTAATTTGCTAATATTTTTATCATGTGTGATATATTACTAAGTATTTACATGTTCTTCCGTAATATACGCATCAGTTAAGTTTCAGATCGATCGGATGCGTTTTTCGTGTTGCAAATTTAATTCCAACAGTGTAATATAAAATAAAAGTATTTTATACATATATTTTGAGTATATGCAGAGTTCAGCTACACATTCAGATCTTTTTTCAATGTGTAATAACTTTTGAACAGAAAATTGTGAACTCCTCAAGAAGTACTTTTATTTTATCATAGACATCGCTCCGAAGCAAGGTTGATCCGCTATATGAAGACTCTGGAAAACAAAGATATTTCTCTAGTCCATTCAATGATACCTTTGGTACGTATGTATTATTAATCACTCAACCAATTGAATAAGCTTTTAAAAAATGCACTTTATACGCCTACATGACATTAATCATATGTTTTAAAAGCGAATCTGTATATAGTAATAAAACTGTAATTGTAATAAACTTGCATACAATAGTTTGTATTTACAGAATAGTATCTTTTAATGCGATGCCATTGACACATATTATTTTTAACCGGAAATTTAGGAGCTCATCAGTGTGTGAGTTCTGCAAAGTAGTGTTAATTCACATAGCATTTCATTGCTTTTCTTATGTGTATAAGTGTAATTCAAATACGAGCAAATTCCGTTTAGCGATAATTCCATGAAAGCATTTCTTCCTTAGATAGCTGTAAAACGCTTTACCGTAATTAATTAATCAATCGAACGATCTGGTGTAAACGCTGAAATTCAGCATTACAGAAGCACTCTGTAGAACGATATTTTTGATTATTGTAAAAATTAAATTTTACATTTATAAATTAAGTTTTACGTTACAGTTTTACGTTTTACGCAAATATAAAATGTCATATTTACTTATTATTATGTTATAACAAAATAGATTTTCGATTATCCGGTTGTCTCTAGATCTTCATTATGAGAGATAACAGAAATTCCTTCTATAGCCGCGATCATCTACGGACAATCAATGACAAAGATCCGTTTTTATAACAATGCGTTGTTATGATTAAAAATTAAAATTAGGATAAAAAATATGTCACATTATAGTTATTTAGCATACTGTTTACTATGTACGGAAAAAAGAATTTAAAGTAAAGTCAAAACAATTTCCAATCACAAAACGATTTGAATCTACATTCATTCTTTCTCGCTAGAGTGCCTCAGTTTCTAGCTTAATTTACAGTGAAATTGATATTTGTTGGGATGTACCAGGGGGAAAAACTGGAAATGCCTGTGTAAGAAATGCAGTTTTTAAGGCACTTTATATCTTTATTTTCATTAGATTATTATCAATTAGTCTTTTTGGAATAAACAACTTAAAAGAAAGACTGCTAATTTTTGTATAACTTGAGAACTTAGGTACCACAAAGTGAACAAACTTTTGATAGAAGAAATCAGAGAAAACGATACCTGTTTTGAAGACATTAAGAGATGTTTTCAGTATAAAAAGGAAATAAACCCACACGATTAGCACTCAGTGAAGAAACGGAAGGACAGTAGAAGAATCTATAAGCAATTTTTGAAACCTGTAAGTACAGCAGAGAAACCTAACTTAGACTACCATTTTGTTTTCGCTGTGCCTGTCTTAAATATTTCGATTTATATCCAGTTTTTGATTTTATTAATGGAATCCATTTCTCTCTTCTAAAAGGTTCAATTTTAGTACCATTTTGTTTTCCCTGTGCCTGTCTGAAATAGTTTGATTTACGTTCACTTTTTGATTTTATTAATGAAATTCGTTTCTCCCTTCTAAAAGGCGCGATTTCAATCATTAATTTGGAAACTTCTTGTCACAGTTCCTATCACTTATCTTCCACTGGCCAGGGACAAACAAAATGTTTCGCTAAAAAATCCTGTACTGAAAAACAAAAACTTCTCAAATTTTCCATTCTCCAAAATCCGAGGTAAATGTCGTAAACTTTTATTTCTTCTGTCATCGAAATTATACATGGAGTAAGCTGTAATCATACAGATGAAATGTCAAGTTTATATTGCATAGCGTCCAAAATATATTCAAATTTCTTTGTATCATTCTTAGAAAGTTCTTCACAAATGCGGCCTCACCAGTGGCAATTAAGGTTGCTGAATATTGCTAGTTCGACCCGGGTTCGAACCCAGGCGAATGGGATGGTTGCATGGTGAAGGGTGAATACGAGACAGTTTTCCTCAGAAAATCCTTCATGAAGACATGCCTCTTCTTTGGCAGGTAGCTCAAAAGTGTTTTGCCATATTCAAATAACTAGGCAACCCTTAGAAAGTACTTAGGCATACTTCTCAAGCAGACAGTCCTTAAGTGCTTTGCCATAATTAAATAAAATAACCTGGCCTAACTTTTCCGAAGACATCCTCCCTTTAGGCTGATAGCCTTGGCTTGCTTTGCCAAAATAAATTAATCCAGTGCTTCTGCTTCATGACATGAGTCTGTTTTGTCAGTTAATTTTCCTGCATTGTATCCAAGTGGGTTGTCCTTGTTTGTTTTTAGTCGTTCACTTTTGTCGGTTTTCCCCCTTTTACGAGTTTTTCATAATGGAATGTTCTAAGAAATTCCTCTTTCATCGTTCAAATACCCGTTCTTTCGCCGTTTTGCTTCTCTTGCTACATGACAGCTTGATGTATTCGAAAGTTGGAAATACTATCTCAAGCTCCTTCCAGTATTACCTTACCTATTTCTCTGTATATTAACATCTATGAATTATAAGTGATCATTATTACTTCACAGACTTACATAGAATTTAACGAGCATTCTAAAAATGACTGAAATTTTTTTTCTGTTTCGGTATATATTAAATATGTGTGTTCATTTCTCATTTAAATCCCTGAAGCTCTCTAAGCCCTGTATTCAATTTCTTTTTTTTAAACCAGAAACCAGTGAGCGGAGTTTGAGTGTCTTGAACACATTTTAAAACAAAGGAACTTCAGTCACACAAGTCACTACCTGAAAATGTAATTATAAATCTTGCTGAATTTGAAAGATGTACTTTTGAAAAGCAGATAATATATGGGCTGTAAAAAATGATTTCGAATATGTATTTTCTTCTCTATTTCGTACTTCTGAGTAACTGTAAAACTTATTAATTCAGAAGTCAAACAACAAAATTCAGCGTTATATTTACAAAAATATAACGCTGAATTTTGTTGTTTGACTTCTGAATTAATATTTATTCGGCGTGTTATTGTGTCTTAACTGTAAAACTATTTTCTAATCATGTATGACTAACTATTATTAACATCATGTTAATATGCAATTAACATTATAAAATATATTGAAAAACAATCTTTATTTTAATATTATGCAGGGTTCTTGCACAATGAAACTGAATAGCACGACAGAAATGATGGTAAGATATGAAGTTATCTTTTCACAGTATTTAGTAGATATGTATCAAATCTGCTATATCAATTATAAAATAGTTGAAATTCAAATTGAAATTTATTTCTGTTTATATAGCGTGCTTAATAAAATACGTTTAGCTCTCATATTATTTATTACCATGTCACTTGAAAAAATTAATGATTTTCTTTTTATAATTACATTTGTCAATATGATTTGATAAGAAAATTAAATACTTACGCATACACTGATATTTAAATATTTCAGCCCTGTTCCTGGCCACAACTTGCAAATATTCACCCATTTGTTCCTTTAGAGCAAGCTGAAGGTTATCAGATTTTGTTTAAAGAATTAGAGAAAGATCTGTGCGAAATAACAGGCTATGACAAGATCTCATTTCAGCCTAACAGGTAACCATGAGGGTTTTTTTTTCCCTCATTTTTTGTAATATATGGCGGCTGCATTTTCATAAAAAATTAGTTCATGTTTTTTGCTTTAAAAATTTCCATAAAGCCAATTATATACTAATTTTAAAAATTCAAACTTATTAAAACTATTATTATTCATATTAAATTTTTTAATTCTATTTAAATTAAAATATTTTGATGTTTCAAGTTAATAATGGATTATCTGAGAACATTTCTAATTTTGAAATGTATGTTACTGTTTACTAGTTGTATCAAGTATTCATAATTTATATTCTTACCGATGTACGAGTACTAAGTGAAACCAATTAACGAGTGAAAATTTAATGTTTCTGTTCAAACAGTAACGCTTAATATATATAAATATAGTTGAAACTAATATATAAAACTACCAAATTAATTTTTCTAAACTCTTCTACAAAATTACTTGCTTCTAATTTCAAATGCCCATACTAGAATTTGTTTCAATCATGCAAAAATCTTAGCTTCAATGATTAAATACCATAACTAAATTTATGACAATAATGTGTGATACAGCAAAATTTTTTAATTTATTAAAATTTGTTGGTTCTAAGTTTATTGAGTTAAATAATTTATTTTGAATTTATTAACTTAAAATCATAGTCATGTTATTACAGGAATCTTAGAAATTACTGATAATTTTTTTAATTCTGAAATCTTATGCAACAGTGTACTAAATTTCGTCTTACATTCAAAATCAATAATAAAACTTGTTTGGAACACATTAATCTACAATATCAATCAATACTTTCTTAAAATAAGTTATAAATTTGGTCTTATTACCAGTAACTTTTTAGAACGAAGAAACAGCATTATTAAAACGATGAAAAAGAAATTTTTCAATATCAAATTTTCGAAACTTCAAAGTAAATACCCAGAACATTTTAGTGACATCTGGGTACTTAAAAATCAATTTATCATTGCCACTGGTAAATAAAGCAAATAATAATTTTGGCATCAGCTGAAATTCTTTCTATTGTGAACTAATTGAAAGAGAACTTAATAATAATATTACATACAAAACATCCAATTAAAATAAAAAATCCATTATAAAACAACTTAACGTCTTCCAAAAAAATTAAAGATTTTTAATAAGACATTTTTTAGCAAATTTCCCAAACTTTATGCCTTCCCAAAATTTTGTAAATTGCCAATTAAATTCACATTTATTGCCAATGGTACCAAAAATTATAAACAGAACATAGACTTTATTTCTTAAAATCTTTTTACTTTTATTAATTTAAATAATTAAAAACTTTTAAAAAATTGATTTCTTTCTCGTAATTTTTAAACTGTTATCTTAGTAATTTTAACAAAATTTATTTCTATTAATGTTTTGGATTTAATTCAATAAAACGAGATTTATTTCTTTTCAATTTTACACTAAATTTACACTCATAACCCACTCAACTTGATTTTTTTTTAGCAGAATTCTCAGAAATTGCAAAAATTACTATGTGGACTTTACTCTTCATTCAAATTTTTATTTATTTTCAATTTTCCATTAAAATTAATTTATTTGAATTAATTGACGCCGTTTTATTATAAATTTTCGCAGTTTTTAAGAATTCTAATACAAGAATTCACTCGTTCTAATACAGTTTTTCCTATGCCCTCAATTTGGAAAATACTACATTTTTGTTTAAAAATTTTTTATTTTTAATAAATTTCCTTAAAATTTTGACTTGAAATATTATATCTAGTTGAATTTTTTTTTTTTATTTTTTTTGTTTTGTTTCAGAAAAAATGCTTAGTAATTCTGCTTATTCTTTGGTTAGAAATTTGTTTTAGCGCATTACGTTTAGTTTGTATGTTTAGTTTGTATGTCCTTCTGGTTTCTTATTCGAGTATTCTTCTTTTAATGTTAATTTTGTTTATGTTTCAAATGTTCACTTTAGGGTCACGACGGAGGTAGACTATACCATGATGATTGATTAAATTATAAAAATTTTTCTTTGTCGCACTTTTATAGCACATTGATTATTTGAATTAAATATTCTTAACCAGCACTTCCTCTTAATTTTAATACCTCCAAAACTATATATCTTCTTTCCAATGCCAAATTTTACCGTTCTAGTTAACCCCCTCCCCAAAAATCTATCTAGCACTATTTTTTTTTTTTTTTTTTTTTTTTTTTTTTTTATGATACAATTTCTGAAGAACTCGGATATCTGAAATTGCGTGTTTTTCAACTGAGATAGTTTTAGCTCCTTTAATTGTTACCATACATTTATAAAGTTTTCTTTTTACCAATAACAACATTCTTCCTTTAGGAATAATCACAGCAATTTTATTTTCATTCTATTTTGCCATCAATTAATTAAAAATATTGATGGGCTTCTCTATAAGTTCAGCTTCCAAATTATATTCTCTTCTAGTAATACAATTTGCTGTTCTGTACTTAAAGAACATATGCAAGATTTTAGCTTTCGAGAAATTTTAATGTTGTCAGTGTGACTTGATGCACAACATTCATATCAACCCGCTTCTAAAATCTTGTTTTGAAGGACTTGAATCTTAAGAGGAGGAAAAAATTAAATAAATCTTCCATCTTCAATCGTTTTTGTCTTTATAACCTATCTCTAACCATTCTTCTGATAAAACTTTTTAAACTTATTCTCCAGTTCTTTGGCAGGGAAATTATATTTTTGGGGGCCTCCTACATGCATCAAATCATAGACTTCCCATTATTCCAAAAGCATTTGGAGACTTTATTCCAAACATTTTCCCCTCTCCTTTCTGTTTTACTTTAAGTACCAAATTTGTATGTATGTTTATGTATTAGTATATTAGCATAATGAACACATATGGTTATCTAGATAAAGGTGGATGTGGCGCTATTCCGATTAACCGTATTGGTAGAGGGGTGGTGCCCACGTCCTCCGTCGCATGTTTTGCTAACTAGATGATTCTTCCCATTTCTTGTTTATTTATATTTTTTTATTTATTTTCGCGTTATTTATTTAAGCGGACGAAATTTTGCCACATTGTTCAGAAGAATGTGAAGAGAGACTTGAGTTGTATTCTTTTGAAATGCATAGAACAAACGCAAAGTAATACCTCTATAAAACTAAATTTTTTCTATTTGCGAAAGTCTTAATTAATCTGTTAATCACTCTAAGCAAATAGCGATAATATAAGAAAAATGTTTTAGTAGCATTTTTTGTTTACTCTTTACTTTTTTGTTTAAGTGGAGCACAAGGGGAATACGCTGGTCTAAGAACTATAATGTCATATTTAAGAGCCATAGGACAAGAAAAAAGAAGAGTAAGTATTTTCTTCTTTTTCTCTTGTTCCTTGATGAACTTTATGTTAAAAACTACCGTAGCGAAATATTTGATTTTTGGCATTCTGGTAAAGATTCCCTCTTGTGAAACTCAATGATTGTATTAAACTATTATGGATCCCTTTTCCTTGTCTCCTTATCATTTGCATGTCTAACGTAAATATAAGCCAGTTTTCTTTAGAAATTACTCCGTGAAACTATTTCTTCTTTTAGAAGATTGTTTTAATCAATCAAGCTTATCACTTGATTAATAAACCTGTTCTTGTTAAACAGATATTCACACGATAAATAAAATCTTATTTGTCGAAGATAAAGATTTCTTGCTGTTTAAAAGAATTTGCTTACGTCAGTTTGGATGGAGTAAATATTCATAAATTAAGTAATGTTCTGTACACAAAGTTAGGACGATATTATTTAAAATTTTCCTGAAGCATTCTAACTTTTCAAAAAATCGTAAAAATATTTATATGTTGGAAACTCAACAATTCACCCCTCTTTTAACTATCAGTTTCTATTAATTAACACCCACTGAGTAAGTCCAGGTCATAGATTGAATTCCTCGAAAAGATATATTAAAGAAGAAGAGGAAAATCTGAAAGGGCTCAGATTTTAAAGGTCATCCGAAAAGGTTTGCTGAAGTTTTTCTACGCTGTCGCTGAGTTCGCACTCTACACCAATCTGCTGATGCACTTACTTCTGCTAACCCATTTCTTTTTGTCTTTTTAGCTTTATTATTAAGCATCATTTTCTTCGCACTTACACCATATACAATTCAACAGAAAAATCACAAAAATTTTACCAGTAGCATGTGTTTAGAATTCCCGATGAAGTGTGAAGTGTTAAGTCTGTTTGTAATGCAGTCGCTTCCAGGAGCCTTTTTTAAGCTGGTGTAATTAATTACATTTAAAACTTCCCTAGGTGTAGTCAATTTTATCAGGTTTTGAGAAGAAAGAAAATTTTCCCAATTTTTAACTTATTTCTCGATGTGCTGATCAGTGTCTATAGTTCCCGGCGAATCATTCGGCTTGAATTGTTCCGTCAGATGAATGCAGAAGCAGCAGCTTCATCCTGAATTGGCAAGACCTGGGGAGCTTTAATTAGACGAGGGACGCTGAACTCGCGCTTCAAGTTTCTAGCGAAATTCCAAAATGAGCCGTCTTGATGGTTAAGACTATCAGTTTTTGTACACCATTTTCACATTTTCATGCTCACTGATGAGGGAATTAATCTTTCTTGTGAAACTTTACATCAGATTTGAGGGCAGGATTCCATATTTTGCAATAATATTTCCGGAGTTTATTTCAATCTGCTATTACTTCCCTAATATTTTCAAGTAATTGTCCTTGAACGCATTTTTGACTGGGAAAAGTCGTGGCTTGAGACTGGAAGTCTTGGAGCCGAGAGGTGAAGTTAAGAATAACTGTATCAATATAATTTACAGTTTTTAAGTAGCCCATATTAAATCAGGAGGTGAAGACGATATCGTTGAAAAGTTTTCAGTCTACCCTGTTTTGGGGGAAGAGGTCTTTCTAAACCGATCCTCTAATTCTTGCTATAACCGGAATGTGATCGGTTGATAAATCAGTAATACCCTCTAGTGACATGGGAGTGCTGATGGAAGAGAGGAAGATGTCTAACATATTGTGACGCCACTTAGGAATGTTGGGCCGCCACTTAGGAAAGTTGACTCCTCTGTTAAAAACGTATGAAGAGGTTGGGTCTCCACGTAGAACAATCCAGTCCAATTATGGGACAGTTTCTTTTGACCAATAGAAACCCTTCGCTCAAGATGTTGTCCAGAGGATGGTATATAGAGCATAGTAAGCCTTAATTATCCGTAGACTCAAGATACGACTCGTAAATACTCTTTACGTAATTGAGAAATCCTGCTCCGCGGTGTGGCATGTATCGCATTTGAGTGAGCAATAATTTGCAGTCTTGAGGTGTTAGTGAGAAACTGCGTGAGTTTTTGTTATGAGGCAAATATTGAAGTCCTGTTTTCTGGCAAAGTCCTCCAGTTCTTGCATATTTGTTGTAAGATTTTGCGTTTTCCAGAGGGCACCTTTAATCGGAGAGTATGGGTTGAACGCTTGTCTATTAATGTTGCTGAGTTAGGGATCTGGCTAGAACTCCGACAATACTGGAGACTTGTAAGTCTTTTAAAATGGGATTGTCGCAGTAAGTATCAACCTGTCTTCCCCTTGTAAATCTGAAGTGTCACTTTGGATATGACGTGCACAAAGATTCACAGTCAGTTACCCAATGGAAAGCTCCTCAGCGGCCGAGCGGCGAAGTCGCTGAACACTGGGAGCTCTGTCTGGAGTTCGAATCCCAACGAACGGACAGGCTACATGTACGTTTTCGTGGTGTTTCTACGAGTAGCATGCATAGAGTCAGTTTCTCTTAAAAGTCCTCCAAAGGCTTCTCATCCTTTAGCGGATACTATTGTATGAGTCGCGATAATCAATAAAAAAGGAATTATTTTGGAAAGCTTCCTCGTCGTGTAAACAGTTAACAACGCCTTCAAGAGACTATTAATCACCTCATTGACAATAATGTATCCCTACCCATAGCTGGCCATAGTAAATGGCAAATAAACAAGAATTGCACATATTTCTGTGGTTTTTATATCCTTTGTATATTTCTAACACCTGTATACATCCTGCGATTTTCATGTGGCTAAGCCAAGAACTTCGCGCTGTTACGATCACACTTCGGATGAGTAAAAGAACAAACTTGCTACAAAATGTTATGAAATGACAAGTTTTCAATTCTAATCTTAATTTTTATCCGTACTATAGTCGGATAATTCAATTTCCATTGTTGTTTATTATAATTAAATATATGTATATATAAATATGATATACAGTATATAATATATATATATATGTAATAAACTACTATATATATATATATATATATTAGCTAAGATATTTTTAGGTATGCCTGATCCCTGTGTCTGCCCACGGTACAAATCCAGCCAGTGCTCAAATGGCTGGAATGTCTGTTCAGCCTATCAGTGTGCTGTCATCTGGAGATATAGACATGGATCATTTAAAATCAAAGGTAAATTATTTGAATAATGTCCCTTAAAAATTAAAAGTAAATTATAAGTAAATATCAGTTAAGACGTTATAATTGGGTGTCATAAAATGCTTAAATTATTTAGAAAATTCAATAGTTCTTAAAGGGTGATGATGCATTTCCAAAACGATTTGCCAGTCTTTATCAATATTTATACTTTTTCTAATTACACAGTTACTTCAGTGGGAAGTAAAAGCTTATACACAAGAAATAAACATCATTACTAATTACAGAAAAAGTGAGGAAATATTCTCCAATGCAAACAGCCAGGGTGCATTTGAACATCTTAATAGATCAAAAGTCAATAGGAAATTAATTACTGTAAACAATTTCTAATAATGCTCTAAAAGATGACGTTTCAGATACAACTGCAGTTTTATTTTACGTCAACAAACAATCAATGTATAAGTGATAGGTGTAGATTCGTGTTTGAATTTATAGTGGTAAGTAACGTCCGAATAAATATAGTTTATATGACAAAATAAAAGTGAACTAAAGAAATTACATGACGTTACTTTCTAAATCTTCTCTAATCTTTTAAATATTTAGGTTCCATTTCTTTACAGTTACGTAACCGCATTCAAAGTGAAAGAATAATTTCGAAAAATCTTAATGTTACTGCTGTATACCTTGTAACATCAAGCAATTAGTTCGGCAATTCAGCCACGAATTATATCGAATAAAGAGGTTGCATCAAGTATAATAGAATATTGATTAGTTGAATTTTTATAAGTCTAAATGCCCATCGAAGTATATTTGAAATTAATGTTAACTTTTTTTTTGTATACGCAGAATTTTTTATTATTCGAAAAGTTTTTCTACTTTTCAGTTTCGGCTCATTTTAACTGCAAGCGGCATACAAAAAGAAAGTGAGGAATCGACGTTAATGTTTCGACTAATTGGAAACATTTAATTTGAGTGTTTTAGGAATAACTATTCTGTTTTGTTTCCCTATATGCATTCAAAGATATTTTTGTTGTTTCTGAAAGCCAAGGAGCCTTACTCAGTAGTCCAGTGAGTAATGCTTCTGAATGCTGGTGCGACCCGGTTTCCATTACAGGAGAACGGGCTGGCTGCAGAGTGGTTTTTGCCATGTTTAAGATGAAAACAAGCTAGTTTCATTTAGAAAGTGCTCCATAAAGGCATCCCTTATGCAGATAGGTAGCCTTCGTGTGCTTTGTCTTATTCCAATAATCTAATGTAACCTAACTTGAAAGATTTAGTTTCTTACCAAGGTTTTATTTTGGACACCGTTATTAGTGGAACCAGAGAGTTCAAGAACGAGTCAATTAGGAGACTGCCATTTAGTTTCAGTTCACTGTTATTGATGGGCTTAGAAGGGTGGTATTAACTTTTCACAGGAAAACTATATTCTAGGTATTTAGTATGGTTTTATCCCACATGCTGATTTCTTATGGCACTTGAAATAAAACCTGAAAACAGATAAATCTATCAAAAAAAAGCGATGAGAAAGATTTTCACTTGTTTATTCAGTATTGACATTTGATCATACTTTCGAGGAAACTTTGTCCACCTTGAACATTTAACGTTTAGAGGAAAAGTAAGCATGATGCTGCTCATAAAAAAAAAACGTATAACAACTGAAAATGGCTGCTAAAACGCTATAGATGAAAGCAAATAAAATATATATAGCTACATTGGCGATGCACTGTTACTTTGCGATTCTTCAGAATTTTAAATTATTCTTCCTCGAGTCCCCAAGATGATCGATTCGTAAAATGAAAACATGAAGTAATAAAATAATAGATACACCCTGAACATACTTTACGCATGAAGATATTAAGTTGATTTCTGAGACTATAAAATCGTACTGAAATCCGAGAGAAATTGCAGTCGGACTCGTATTCACGATATCCATAGGAAAACCATAAAAACTCATACTCTGCCATCCAGTTCGCCGGGATTTCAAATCGCATTGAACTATCTGTATTTAGTGGTTTCACAGCTTGTAGGGGTTGCATTTTTGAAACTTGTAATTCAGTTTATTTCACTAATTTGCAGCTGTAAAACAGTGTATTCAGTGGTTTCACAGCTTATAGGGGTTGCATTTTTGTAGCTTGTACTCGTAATTCAGTTTATTTCACTAATTTGCAGCTGCAAAACAGATTACTACTTTGAGCCTTTATTTATCAATTTTTTTTTTTTATATTCTCTCGTCTGTGAGAGCGATACGCACCAGTTAGTTGATGAAACCTCTGAGTGCAGGAAAACACACGAAAAAAAAAAAAAAAAAAAAAAAAGAAAAAAAAGCCTAATTGAAAATCACTAAAAATGCGTCTGATGACGTCACACAGGTTCGGAGGCCAGCCTTGTCAAACATATTTGCTTGCAAATGGAACTGTATTCATTCATTATCTTCTTCTCTAATTGCAAATATATTAAATCAACAAAACAATATCATGATTATTTAACACTTATCGCTGCGATTTGTTTTGGATTCTTTGACAAATGAATAAGAATGCAAAATTTAAGTTGGCAACGAAAAAAAACTGCTAAATGACAATTCAGCTCCAAACGCAAGTTTTATTTATTATTATTATTTATTTTTAATGCCACGCGAATTATAGTAAAATGAATTTTTAAGTAACTCTAAATAAGAGATGAAGAGCAGTTTGAAATCAAAATGCGTGTATAATTTCTATTGTTTTCTTTACTGAGCAGCCGATAAGGTATTTCGTGAAACTGTTAGAGTTTAGACTTTAAACATTATCAACTCTTTTCACAGAAATCAAAATTAAAGCTGTTCGCAAAACTTTTCCTCATTTTAACTGCTTTTCAAATTTGCTTTCGCCTAAGATCTTACGTAGCTCTGCTGATGTCTTTTGCAAATCTGTAATCGCAGGAAATCTAGTGAGTTTTTAACACTTATTTCTAAAAATGCGAATCTACCTTTTTTTAAATATTATGCATTTGAATACAGAACAAATAAATTAAATGCGGCACTGAATAATTTGAGTAAACAATTTAAGCCATTCAATAGTATTAAATGGGGATTTCGGGGCAGCGCATACGGGAGAAGGAAATAAATAGAGAGGAGAACCTTGAGTCGTGGAATACAAAAGGAACTTTTATTGTTTTATAACAGCTGCTCTCTGAAATCAAAATTAAAAAAAAAAAAAAGTCAGTTTCTAGAGCAAGATCAGTTTTCAAAACTCTCTTTTGCTTCTTTTCCTTGCCGAGTCTACTAAGCAGTCAAAAGACTTCCGAAGCACGAAGTATCTGGCTCAGTGAATGGACAATACGCTACTTCGAGGACAAATAATTACTTCCTCATTAAGAGCTCGCGATTTCAGAATGTATTAAGCAGTGACGCTTTCAACAGGCAAACGGGGGGGGGAGGTTGGTACGCATGGCCTGAAGGCGTTCATCTCAGACTGCTCTCGATTATTTATTTTCTTTGCCTTAAAGCGAGCATTTTGTATTATACATTTCAAAAAGTATTTTAATCAGTTCGTATTTAGATTTTTCAAATTACTAGCAATATGCGAAGTTAATCACTTTCCATTCATTAAGGTAAAGGTAATTCGTAAGATAGATATTAAGAAAGCTGAACCTTATAACATCTGAATTAGAAACTCATATCTAATGCAGTGCTCTCAACTTGTATTGCATGAAATAAACAAAAATTTTGCAGTGCAATGTTTTAGAGATATCTTCTAGCATTGACTCAAAAGCAAAATTCTGACTCAACTTAAGCGCTTGAGGTGCTGAATAAATAATGTAAAATTATTTTAAAAATTAATTTGGTGAGCAGGGAAAAGGTACAAAGTATTTCTATTTCTTTCAAACAAAAAAAAGTGAAATATGATATTTTTACACCACCCCTTTTAGATTTATGATTGGTAACTACAGAGAATAAATATGCTTCCAATTATAGGAGAATGAAAATCAAGAATTCGCAATGCAAATAAATCAAGAATCCAAATCAATCAAGAATTCGCAATCCAAATAAGGCGCTAGACAAGTTGTATCGACACATAAAGGACATGTAAAAGAGAGTGCGGTCAGTCAGGTGGAGGCAAATGCAAAACAGTTCTGGTTCATTTTGATTAAAATGGGTTCATAATTACAGTAAATAAACAAATAATAGCAAGGCTTAACGGGGACTCATGCAGTGCAACGTATGTAAAAATGGGATACCACGAAAAATGGATGTTGAAAAGGAAGTGAATATTTCAAAAATTCAGGCATGATGGAAACGACTCAAAGAATCACACAACTGAATTTTGATGCAGTTTATAACATAATCAGTTTTCTAAATCTTATGCCAAATATTATTTATATATCAGATGGTAGAAAATTATCAGTATCAGGTTTATATGCCAAATGTGATTTTAGTTTACCAAAACTCAAATGCACAAAAGTATATAAAGGCTAAGCTGCAACCGAAATTTTTACAGGTTATTAAAATTCGGATATCATGCTTGTTCTTCGGGTAGGGAGGATGCCATTAAATTAACATTCCATTAATTTTATTTGTATATTAATGCTGTCATATAAGTTTCATGTTCTCTATATCATCCGTTATGGACTTCCACTTGCGCTGAAATGCTGCAGAAGCCTATCAGAAGACGTTTTCCCCAATATATGTATGTGCTGTCACTGAGTGTCAACGCCAGTCATGGTTAAAGACTTTCTGTAGTGGAAATTTTAATCTTGTGCGCAACGACAGGAGATGGAAGAGAAGAATTAAATTTAATGATAAAATCAGGTCCGAGTATCACCGTAGAGAAATAGCGGAGAGGCCTTATAAGGCATTTTCTCCCTCCTTTCTGCAAGTCTTAGTGGTGTAACGGTAACACACTCGACGCGTATCGAGAGGTGCAGATTCGAGTCCCGTCGAAGGCATTGCTCATTTTTTAAGTCTCCATCATCAAAATAATCTAATGCCTCTAAAGCTTCACTGCGCACAGTGAACCCATGTAGGTCACATGAAATTAATTGTATTGTTTCTCCTCTTCGCGTTTAGGTTCTTCATCATATCACAGTTGCACTGAAATGGAAGGAAATAAATGGGAGCTGTTAGCAGCGAATATTGATTTGCATTTATCCGTTCACATGAAATGGATAAAACCCTCGCGTTATGACTGGAGATGAAATAAGAATATTTCATGTTAACTATTATAAAAAAATACAGAAGATAGGTCCAGAAGAGAAGCCAAGCTTCCCAAAAATCTTGGGATGTATCCAAAGAATGTTTTGATATGCATGTGGTAGGATATGGAAAGCGTAGTTTATAATTTTGAACTGTCAAAAATAAGTTAACATTTAATGTATAGATATTTGTTGTTATCAGTCAGATAATCTGAAATAGACTTTAACTACCAAGCGACCTGTATTACTTAAAACTTGAAGTGATTCTTCAGTAAAATAACATTAAATCATATTTTGAAAGTAAGACTCAACAAAAGTTTAGTAATGAGAAATTCTTATTCATCCGTCTGAGAGCGCAAACATTGTTTTCTTCAGTCACAACCTAATTTGATCTCCTCAGCATTTTCTTATTGGCATAAACTTCAGCAATAAATGGGAGCTCGAAAATTTATTAAATGAAAATTTTGTGCTAAAAATCCAAAAAAGGGTTTGAAAAGTTGCCTGGAAAATGATAAATTCTGTATTAATAATTAAATTTTAAAATAAGCAGATGAAAATGTTCATATATATTTTTTAGAAAAATTTAATGTCTAGGATACATTCCTTGTTAGAACAGTTACTTCAATTGATGATTTTAAAAATATTTAAAAAAGTAGTATTGATGCCCAAATTCACCCACATTTGAAAATATTATTGAAAATAAATAAATTATCTTGATAATATAACGTAAATTTAGATATTAATGGAAACCTGTGTGTGGAGATCAGGCATTTTATTGAGGATTTATACACATGCAAGGGTAGGTAAATATAGCACAGGTTTAGAATGCATTTGAGAGTTAGTACCCATGCATATATATAACTGACGTTCGACTGCAAAAGCGTTAATTTAATCAGCTGTTCTTTTATAAGTATTATTCAGAGAATTTCCCTGGATGGAAAACTGCTTACCAATCTACAACGAGAACAGGTGGGATTACAGGTGTTTTATGAAAGAGAAGATGACATTATGGTTGTGCTTAAATGCAATTCAGGCTCCCATTTTATTCATATTTTCGTTGTACTCTTTTGAATATTTTGCCAAAATATGCTAATGACTACTTCTTTGAATGAAGGAGCAAGTATCAGTATAACAGGTGGGTGGCAAATAAAAGGCTGGAGTATTTTTTTTTAGAATCAGTATAATCACCTATCTCTACAAATCCATATTTCATACAAAATATTTTTTATTTAATATTTAAGGAATATTTAGATGATTAGGTATTGTTCATTTGATTATTCATTCTCTGAATCGAAAAGAGTTAATTCAAGTGCTGGTGATAATGAACTTTATACAGCTGCCCCACACAATAGAAAATGAATTTGAATTCTTGATCCTATGAAAGGAACGCCAAAAATTAACTCCCATAAAATTAAAATTAAAGGAAAAAAGGGTATACACTACAAAGGCGTGGCTGCGGGAATGGATCGCAGTCATTACTTATGAAATGGAAAGTTAGTGGTAACACTTATAATAATTCTGAGATCTTATTCCTTCTTTTAAAAGCTTGTGCAATCTGTTTGGAAAAATTGTGTGGGTCTGCGTATTAACTATTTCCAGTCTAACTTTTCCCTCTCAAATGTTATTTAAAACCTACTGTGTGAGTTATTCTTGGTAGCTTGTAGAGACATTAGGTTATTTCGAAGCAGGAGACATGAAAAATGAGCAATGCCCTAGCCAGGACTCGAACCTCGGACCTCTAGAATACGCGCCGTGTATGCTGACCACTACACCATGAAGGCAAGCTAAGAAGGTGGGAGAAATACCCTATTAGCTTTTAAGTAACACTTGAGGTGTGAGTGTTAGATTGGGAATAGTTATCAAGCAGAAATAGCACCACGCAATTGTTACAAGTTGACGGAACTTTTTTAATCCCTAGAATAATAATTAACACTAGTATATTACTATTTAAGTAAAGGAATTAAAAACAATCATAGATTTTGTTTCATTTAAAATTATTGCTTGTTTTCATAAATTGCAATACTTAGTCTTTCTTTAACACTACTTTCAGCAAGAAACAAAGACAGCATATTCTCTCTTCATCAAAATAATTAAACAATATATAAATTAAACAATATATATATATATATATATATTCTATGCATTATTTTTGAATCAAGGTGTATTTTAATATCATTATCACAAACTACTACGTTTATTATTATTGTTGAAATAGCGTAGAAGGTAATCTTGAAATGTATTGCTTTGGCATGCATCTGATTGTAATTAAATGCTCTATCAATTATACTGCATACTGTATCCTATTTAATTACATACTAAAAAGTGACTAATTAATTAAAAGTGCGTAATTACTAAATGCAAATTTCAATTTATTAGTCACTATTTAAAACTTTAGTTGTCTCTCTCAGTGAAGCTTTTACTTCACTATGTTGAAATACACAAATTAGTCTTAAATCTAATTTTTAAATGTGTAATTAGAACAGAATGCAATCTGGACTTCAGTTAAAGGAACATTTAATTATATATCAAATGTTTGACAAGCCAACAGATTTCAAAATCAAGCCTTCGTTTAACATTATTTCAGTAAGAATGATAATTGTTAATTAATTAATTAATTAACAATTATTATTAATTAACAAGAGGAAAATTATTTAATATGACATTTTCGCTTAAATACACTCGATTTCTGAAGAGGACTAATCATTGGTAACAGGTAGTTTTATTTCAAATTGTGTTCTTTGGCAAATAAACTAGTTGTGATCAAATTTTTGCTGATTTTTCGATGAGTGTCCTATACATGAGGTACATCCTCTTCAAAAGCTACCCATAGAAGCCATTTCTTGTCAAAGGACCTTTCTTGTTAGATGTTTAATTTTTTTTTATGTGAAAAGAGTTTAGTAGGGTTTCTCTTAGCTAAATAACCTTTTATTCAAATTTTTGTTATCTTTCCTGAACTCCTCAACTTCCTCTCGCATTTTCTTTCCAGGATGTAAATTTAAAGTGAAGTGAAATGAGTATTTAAACGGGTGAATCTTGGAGTTTATTCAAAGAGTGTTTTCGCTAGCCAGCTCACGTTTCGTTGCTGATCCTGCTGTTACGCTAATACGTTCCTTCGCCATATCGAATAATTGTTACGCCTGTTAGGTTTGTTGAGTCAACCTCAACTGTAATTTAACGTGCTAATCCAGCACTGTTCTATAACGTTTAAGTTCCACTGCAAGTTGTCGGAGTTACTGTAAAGCATGAAGTACGTGCCTTTCTGTTATTAGTTAGAAATAATAAAGGGTTATTTTCACTCTTCTTCTGCTCTGGTATTTACTTCACACTTGTGCTAGATTTCGACAGGTTAATTTGTAGGATCTGGATTAGTTTATGTGGAAAAGAAGAGATAGATCTTATAACTGTAATGAAGAAATAAATAAAAAGGTAATTAGAGGAAACAGCATGCATTTTATCGAAATGGAATAGCACTTGCCTTGAATAAATGTGAGTTGATAAAAAAGATAAATTACATGAATAATTACTCAAAAAATTAATCATATTTTTCACTGATTATTTTTAAAATTTGCATTGATTCATTATTTTCCAGCTTGAAGATTTCAAAGACACAGTGGGCTGTATGATGATAACTTATCCATCAACGAACGGAATATTTGAAGAAAGTGTCAGGTAGTGTAAGGATACTTAGTTTTAATTTAAATCAACAAATCTAGGGTGTAAAATAGTAATAAATATATTTAAAACTGACTCAAAGTGTATAAGAATATTTATTAGATAAAAACAAGAGTTCATAAATAATCCCAGATAATGTTTTCCTTGTGAGGCTTGTGAGTTCAAACTTAATCCAAAATTCATCCGCACAGATTTTACAAAATCATTAATACTGACACGGGTGTAATCATAAAATAAGCTTCCCTACTCGGACATTCTGTAATTACCATAATTGAACCAAACTTGGAAGGTGTACTAATAAAAGAATAAAAAAAAAAAGCATTGTTGGAAAAAATTTCCAAAAGATCACCTGTAGGGGAACGTACGGCACTACGACGCATAAAGAAATAACATAATTCGTAAGGAAAAAAATGAATAATGAAGACAGCCTTGAAGTTAAAAATGTTTTATTTCTTTGTACAAGCAAAAGTGCTGTATATAAATTTTCTTTCTTTCATGCATATCTCATGATTAGTATCAGCAAAGGTAAATCTTTATTGTCCTACTAATAGATCATTAATGTAGAAACAGTGACAGATATGGGCCACTTTCGCTTTTGATTTCCATACCCTGATCTGTATAGTGTTCAGCGTTATTAGCTCCCGTATCGTTGGACTAGGATTCAAATCCCGCAGAAGTGTTGGATATAGTGTCTTTGCAGCATAAGGTAAGTATGCAGTTAAATAGGCATGTATTATTATAAATATATGTCATGTATTATTTGAGAAAAAAGGGTACTGAATGTAGATTAACGTCTTAAACAAAGTAATAAGAATAGACATTCCCTTCCCCCCCCAAAAAACCCCTTTGTTTTAACACTTCTGAAAAATGCCTTTCCATCTCATAACTAGCATGCTACTAACGATGCGACTTTCTAAGATGTGTGAAAGTGTCAAGCAATCAAATGCTACTCTATTATGTTAAACATATGACAATTAAGCTTATTTTTCAACTTCGAAATTTAGTAGTACATTATTGGTACGTGACCAGTTGTAAGCAAACTTAACATGTAGTCTGACCAACTTTGAAAGTAGCTTCTGTCTGCTCGAACATCTCTCGGGAGTCTGGTGCTTAATAATTCACGCCAGGTGCTACTATCTGTAAGTTATATGTGTTTCATTTTTTTCAAAGTATTTTATCCATTTCCATGTACCCCAATGATTTGTTAAATTGCTGCGAAATAGGCAGCAGTTAGCAGTTACCGTCTAGCAATCCTAAAAAGGCTAACTCTTCCTCTGAAAATCAATTTTGTGCCCAGTTTCAGTTTCAAAATAGATGGCTCCGTTTTTTTCGAGCTGCAAAAATTTTGCACATATACAAAATATTAAATTGTTTTACTCTTATGTAACTTAAACTAACTTCAGTTCATTTTTTGATTTGTTTTTTCTTGTGAACTGAAATGCTGTTCCATTTTCCGCAACGCCATTTTACTGTTTTAAAAAAGTTTAAGGTAAAATATCATATGCTTGGAACTTGCAGTATTTGAACTTGGCTTTTCGAAAATGTTAACTTACTTTCTGCAAACAAATGTATGAAGTGCATCTTCTAGCACAGAGTAGTGCATGCTGTAATACAAGCTGAGTTAATCGTATTTCGACCTTTCGGACCGATGTCGCATTTTGAGGAAAGAAATGCGGACTAGCTTGATAAAAACCTCCTCATCAAGCCTAAACATCTTTACTTGCAAAATTTTTCATCCTATGATTTCATTATTCTCTGTTATCAACATGATTCTACTTAAAATTTCCAGACAGTTCAAACTGTCAAAGTTTTCCAATGATTATTACTTAAAAGGTCGCTATGAAATAATTTTTAACACTTCAAACATAACTGCCGGATAAGCATTTTTCTCGATCCTTTGAACGCAGGCTTATTCTGCTCTTCAGTGACTTCTGGAACTAATTTCTATTTTACGCAGGCGGAAATTTTTCTTTTGCGTTAATTAAAACAAAAGTTTGGTTATGATTTGGAACTTAGGTAAAGATGCTACATGCTTCGAGCAGAGAAACTTATTTTAATGTACACCCTGTATTCAATGCAATTCAAACAAACGTTTTATTCAACAGCAATTCTTTTTCGTACTTCGAACTTCCATTTTCAGCATTACTATAATCGAATTGCATTTTAAGTTTGATGTTAGCACATTCATTAGCTTTCTGTTGCAGGCAAATTATTTCTTTGCACGCAACTGAATGTGAAAGAGGCTTTAAGAGAGAAAGAAGTTTATAGTTATTATAGTATGGGTATTATATGTGTTTAAAAAATCGTATCATCTCAGTCGTAATAATGACTGAATAATTAATAGTCAGTAGTTATTTACGCAGGTTTTCAAAAAAATGCACGTCTAATTATCTGGTTCAGTTTACAAATAAATCAACTAATTTCAGATTACAACAGTTTTGGTGATATTATGCATGTTAAAACTATCGGTTGAAAAACATTTTCCAATTTCTATAGTCTCAATATACGTTCTCCTGGCTTAAAAGTTATCTTAAGGAAATGTACATTTAAAACTTTATGAGTGCAATTACCTTTAGTTGCGTAGCATTATTTGTATGCAGTTTCCTAAAATTTTAATTAGTGATAATTGTTTGGTAATGATAAGTTTGGATTTGTTTTGGATGCCTTCTATCGTGTAAGGGCCTTATACTTTGGGAGGGTCTAATATGACTATGGAGAATACTTTTATCATTGATATTTTTTTCTTTGGAACCCGAATCAGAATTCTATTTCTGTATATTTTTACAAAGAGTTTCTTGGCGACCGAAGGTTTCATAGTATCACAGCAATTGTAAAGATTTAATTAAAAAATATATTATACAATAGTTAAATTGTTTAAGGAAATGAATTTAAATAGTCTTCAATAAAACGTAACATAAAATGCCTGTGTTGATCTGCTAAGTAATGTGATGAAAACAGTAAGAAGTTAGAATAAGAATAATCTAGATAGAATTATTCATGACGAACGTATGAAGGAATCTAAACCAAATTCAAATTTATTAACAATTAAGAGCCAAGTAATGTAAGAAGATTCAAATAACTTTTCAGGTGAGAAGTTACAAAAAAGGTTGAGTTATGGATGAGCTGAAGAAACATTCTGTATTCTTACAGATGTCTTAAAATTTGAACCTTGTTCTTAGGATTGTTAGTGTTTTATCATATAGTTGTTTAACAGGTAGGACTTTCTCTTTTTCACCATCTGATATGCAGGTGTACCACTGGCCACGCACATCAACCCAAATATCCCGTTAATAGGTAAAATAACTATACTATAAGATGCAAGAAGGGGGGGGGGGGGCAGATAGGCCTGGAAAGAAAGTTATATGTGTAGAATGCGACAGTTTTGGAGTTTTGACTCCCGTAGCGCAGAGCATGATACGAATCAATTGGCACCAGGTGACATGCAAATAAGCTGCCATTTTTTTTTTTTTTTTTGATCAGCTTGGAACTGTGGAATGCTGAGCATCGTGATTTCTTTTTTGAAAATTATTTCAAGAATAATAACTCCTTAGCTCATGTATAGCCATTCTCTAGTTTCTTCTGGGATTACCGAAAACAAGAAGTTTTCCAAACACATTGTGCTACTATGTTAGAACTGAAAATCCGCATCAGAGTTTTGTCCAATATTCCTGACAAAAGTAAGGGAGAGCTTTCAATACAGCTTAGTAGAACGTCTGAAAGAGCGAAGCCACATTTAAACAGATTTCATATTCAAACATTAAATGCTGGAAAATATATTGAAAAAAAAAGTTCTTCACTTTATTTTAAACTTATATATTAATCTTTTTATGGTTAGTTTTAAATTAACTTTTCATACTTGAAATTGTTTCAACATCATAGAGACAGCACCCAAAAGGCTTGAAATTCGAATCAATTATAGGCGACAGAAGATGCAAATGATAAGAATTGCAGCATATATGCAAATAATGCGCCAATAACACCACCCAGAAGCGGTATAAAAAGAGAGAAGAGTAGACATTATTCCAGTAAACGTACAATACCAATAGTTATTTTAATTTAAACTACTGGGAATTGTGTTTTTTCTTTTGCGCAGAAGGCTTTAGAAGACCTCGTCGGTAGGAAGTAGTCATTCGAGCAAATTTTCTAGTTTGGCAGAGGAAGAATTGTGGCATATAGCGATCGTGGATTATCCTTCTTAAAAAGAAAATCAAGTCACAGTGAACACCTGTTCTGGATGATTGTCAGCTTCCTCAAGGATCTTCTAAGACGTGTTGTTCATCTAAGCCCTCTGCTGCAGGCTGATCAGCAGAGGCAGCTTCTGGGTGGAAAACGACACTCTTCAGATGATTTTGGACCTTCTCAAACCAATCCGTGAACGTTTCGGAAGAGTATAATGGTTGAGGATCGTCGTCCGTAAAGCGCTGATACAGCTGCCTCGCATTCTCCTGGATGACCAAAGAATCCAACGAAATGTTTTCTTGCGGCTGCCGCTTATCAGAAGGGCTAAGGCAGACTCCATTTTCCCTATGAATTTATAACGACTTATCACAATGCGCGTTGCTTCCTTTTTGAAAAAGAGTTAGCCATTTCCCGGATGTTCTTTTCATCTTTATAGATGGACTGAAAGTTTGACTCATTCAGATCGTAATGTTGGGCAACCTTCACAATTTTCTTGCCATTTTTAATCACATCCAAGAGTTTCACCTTCTCCTGAATACCTACAGCGCTTAATTTCATCGTCAGAAGGCTTAAAAGAAGTAACACATTTAAGAGCCATGGTGGGGGCTTAAGTTAAATTTCTCAGAAATAGCAAACACTTCACAGGAGCAAAAGTGCTTCCAATGCGTAGCGATGTAGAAGCGTGTATGAGAGAAACGAACTTGCATGAGAGTGAGCCAATGATAGGAAGATGATAAAGTAGCCAATAAGTGAATAACAAGCTCTGATTGGTTTGGTTTACCCACACCCGATTTTTTCTGAAAATAGCGACTGCACCTGGCGTTGAAGGATTTGAGGGGATGCTCGAATACATAGGCCTACAATCCTTAGGTACAGTAATTTTAATTTTCATTTTAATGCAGAAGTGTATAATGGACTCATACAACAGAGCGCGCACTGTACAATTTTCATTGTCTGGATCAACATTTTAATGAATGCATTTGAAAAAAAAAAAAAAAAAAAAAAATACGATAGAGGGAAGCCACGAAAGTCGAAGCGCGATGTGGCGAGGGACGATTGTACTGTAGATATACAGTAAAATATAACTTAAGAAGTGCGAATGACTTGCGCAGCATGGAATGAAATGTGCGTTACAGGATACACCGAGTCAAAAGGACATACCGAGTCACCGAGTCAAAATCCACCAAATGTAGCCGGCTTAATGACAAAAATCTACCGCTAAGACACGTTAAACGACAACAGCCTATGTCCTGAGTAATTACCTTAAGCTACTTTTATAATTCCAACATCTATATTTGAGTTTATGAGTATTACATAGCAATAAAATAATTTATGTGTAAACAGTAAAGCAATTTATAAAAAAACAAAGCAATAAATGCACATGAATACGAGTGACAGCAAATTAAAGATTACAAAATGCGCAAATAAACTCAAGATAATAGTAATAATAGAAAAAGCTAAAGATAATAGATAATAACAGTACATTTTATTATTTTTATAACTGAGCAGAATTATTTCAAAGCTGTAATATAGAGAGTTTGATAAATATTATGCATTTTTTATATATTTAGAGAGATTTGCGAGCTAGTCCACTCCTACGGAGGCCAAGTGTATTTAGATGGAGCTAATATGAACGCCCAAGTCGGCCTTTGTCGGCCAGGAGATTATGGATCTGACGTCTCACATATAAATTTGCATAAAACATTTTGCATTCCACATGGAGGTGGCGGCCCAGGCATGGGTCCTATTGGTGTGTAAGTCTCAAATATATTTTAATTATTTATTACTTGTTTTTGTATTTCGTTAAACTGTAAGTCAAAAATAAATTTACATTTCAAAAATTATGTTATAGTTATGGAATCATAAGTTTACTAATAACTAGTATATTAGTTCATATTTTTGGAAAGTTCAAAATTACTTTCTACAGTGGCTCCCGAACTAAAAGGGGGGTGGATGATGATTCTCCACACCCAAGATTTGGCTACTGGGTCCCCTAAAACCCCAGTCGCCCTTTAAAAGGGAGAGTATGTAAGGTATTTCTCCCACCTTCTTAGCATGCCTTCGTAGTGTAGTGATCTGCACGCTGGGCGCGTATTCCAGAGGTCCGCGGTTCGATTTCCGGCAAAGGCGTTGCTCGATTTTTAAGTCTCCTGCTTCCAAAAAAATACCTAATGTCTTGACAACTTACAAACAGAATTGTTGAGATATCTAAATTTTAAAACATTTTTGACTTTGCTATAAAATCGCAGTTATTTTCAGAATATTTTCATTCATATATAATCTATATAAACAATTCTGTGGCTTACCGTATTTAGTTTTTGTTTTTTCCACTTTAGGAATGTTTATTGAAGTTATAAGCATTTTATTAAGCCACTGATATTTCTTAGATGCGCATAAAATTAACATTTTTTTAAAAATTGTGTATTTTTTTAATCTAAATTAATGCTTTAACTTGTAAAATTCGAAATGATAAATTGATTAATTTTACTGAGAAGATTTAAAGTTTTATAAGATTTTAAAATATGTAAATTCTCACTCTCAGCAGAATATGGTTTCTGTTAAGTAAACAGCGACGGAAAACAGCACACATTCGAGAAAACGAGCACTGGAATTAAATATGAAGAAGTTTTACGATATTTATATTTTAGAATTCTCTGTCTAGAACAACGCGATTTACATATAAATTTACCATAAGACTGAGCTATTTTGTTAACTGCTAAACAGCATTTTATATCGGTTCATTTAGTCTGATCTATTCAATCGGTGATGACCACTGTAGCTCGTGACTAGATTAATAACAGTTCGCTGTTATAACAGTTCACTGTTATTGATCAAATTTCTTTACTTGTGCTTATTTTCCATATGTGTAACTATGGCAGAACTATCTGCATCGTCATATTATTTGAAATTATTTCCCCGTGCGTCATCCATGATGGCATCCCTCCCTTTAGGCAAATAGTCCTAGCCTACTTTGTCATAATCAATTAAGCTAAACCAATTGGTCTCTTTTACCAAGAATTTCTGCGACTTTGTTACCAGAAATTCTACAGTGGGAAGGAATCCAGTGATGAAAGCTTACCTTTGACATTCTGAAAGCTTCCCCACGAGCGATTTTTATCATTTAACTTTTAAACCGATTAAAAAAACAAATAGTTGAAATGGAAAGGGAAAGCTGTTTATTCATCTATATTCATATATATATATATATATATATATATGTGTGTGTGTGTGTGTCATTAGAATAAAATATAACTCCGTAAAGTCTGTACAAATAATAACCTTTATCTTCATGAGAGACGAACTCAGTAGGTATTAATTCAGACCTTTAATGATAACGTCTTATTTGCAGGTTCCAAAAGCTTTTGAAAAATTAAATTATAACAGTCCAAGTTTTTTAAGTACATAGATTGTTCTTACGGTAATTTTTCTCATATGTCTTATGAATTTTGAAAGAATAGAACTTATAAAAATAAATTTAAGGCAAAATTACAAGCACTGTTATAAGTGATTTTTTAATTACAGGAAATCTCATTTGGCTCCGTTCTTACCATCCCATCCTATAATCAACCCATTGGCTGCTCTTGGATCAACAGCAAAGTCATTTGGAGTCGTAAGTGCTGCACCGTGGGGTTCTTCAGCAATTTTGCCTATTTCTTGGGCATATATTAAAATGATGGGACCTAGTGGATTAAAACAAGCCACCGAAGTAGCAATCCTAAACGCTAACTACATGCTGAAAAAGCTTAAAGATCATTACAAAATTCTATACTACGGAAAAAATGGTAATATTATAAAATATTCTGAGCATATTATTTTAATCTTTACAGATTGCATAAAAATAATATCAATTCAAATTACATTTAGGTGTAAACAGAAATCATCATCTGTTAGCAGTAGAAACCGCAACACTTCTGACTATTTAAATATTTTTAAAATTCCTGTTGAATATTTTAATGCTGATAAGGAATGATTGTGAAACAGCACAACTGTAAACGTTTCAACTGACTGAGTGCAAATGGCGTATACGACGGCCGAGAGTCTTAATGAAAAACAGAACTGTGGTTTTTAGTAATTACTGAACATTAAAAGCTGAACCGGTTGTGAGTAACAAAGTAAAACAGTTAAAAGAATTATATTAAAATTTCATTGATCCAGAAGCATTTTATTTAGCCTACGTAAGCGTATAAACTGTAAATAAGAGACTCTATTACTCATCAGTGAACGAAAATACTGATGTAACTTTCGAATGAAAATGCTCTTACAATCTTCATCAATGAAATCAATATAAGTGGTAATTTATCTATAAACCCAAATGCATTTGGAACTCATCTTTTTATAAAAAAATCGCTGTTTTTCCTTTATTATAAAGAAGTTTTCTAGGTTCGTCTTTAATAAATTATAGCTTTAGAATATATCTTTCTGGCTTACTATATTGCGAAGAAAAATGGCTATTTATAATGCGTTATGAAAGCTTTAGTTTTGATAATTAGCTTGAGTCTGTTATGAATAGCATACGAAATTTCGTTAAATGTTGTCTGCTTTAAAACTTTTATGATAGAGATGTTTAAGTGTCAAACTTCAGTATATAAAATTTTAAACAAATTATTTCACTTGCATGCTGTCAATAGTGTATATCTATGAACGTTGAAAAGTAAATAAAGACGAAATTTAGAGCAAATTAAAAAATTCCAGCTCTCGTTGACTAAAATATTAGAAGTAAATCAAATTGGTGTGACAGTCAAAAAGATTTTTATAGTCGCTCTCACAAAATAAGGTAAAAAGTGACTGAAATAATGTTAAACTAAAAGAAAAGAACTATCAGATGACAACTTTCTTTGAAATAATGTCAAACTAAAAGAAAAGAACTGTCAAATGACAACCTTCTTTTTTCATTTCTTTCATAAATTTGCATAGCATTTTTTTCACTAATTAACTGAAGTTTCACTTAATGCCCCAAGATAGTTTTTGCTTCCTTTTTAGATCATTTTTCATCAAAAGGCAATGTATTTACTGGCAAGAAAAATCGAGTTGCCAGATCAAATAAATATTGAATATGGAGCTAAAATTGTATTAAGCGTGCAATTAAAGTTTAACTTATTGTGTGCGTTGTTTCTAAGATAACTTTGAGCTACCTGAACTTTTAAATAATGCGAACATGCAAATTTTTAAATAATGAGAACGAATTTTAAATACCTGAACTTTTAATGTTTACTTACATGTTTAAATTGGGATCACATTACTTTGACATACCATTCTGACTATTTCTACAGGCACTGTCGCACATGAATTCATAGTGGACGTTCGAGACTTGAAGAAAACTTCTAACATTGAAGCTATGGACATTGCAAAACGACTTCAAGATTATGGTACGTCACTTCGCTGCTTTTCTTAATCCCTGTAACGCTATATGGGCTGCCCATCTAAAACTGAATGTGACAAAAAACTGCGTATGTGTGTTGTTTAGACACAAAAAAAGTTTGTCAAAAAATTTTCTTCCCCTTTCTTCTTAATAACAGATAACAGCCAGAAGTCAGAAGTGTTACATCTGACAGATTTAGGTACTTGTTAGATTACAGGGATTTATTTCTGCGCCTTGAAATATCTAATTAACGTGGCAGTGTGAATGAAAGTTTGTTACGCTGTAAAATCTATCTAGTTCTCCAATTCTGTACTTTATTTTCTTCTGATTTTGTTTTCAAAACATACAAATATTTGTAAAAGATGCACAGCCTCTACAGTGACCCCGTTGCACAAATTAATAATGGACGTTTTTCTGGTTATTAAAGAAAACAATCGACATGATTTAAACTTTCAGTTTGTTGATTCGGGCTCTTTTTAGTTTCAAAATATTAGTGTATGTCATGTTGAAAATTTGGCTTTCATCAAATCGTAAGCGAAAATGTAAACTTCTTTGCTCATTTTCGTTCGTTCAAATTATGATATCTGGCTGAATGGCCAACAGATGCTTTAACTCCGCTTACTCTACAACAGCAATTATGCAGCCCTGTTTGATGTTTCATTGTATATTTCTTCTGCAAGGTGTACTATAACGCCCTCTGACAGCCAGTTTCAAGCCTTTAAAATCCCCCGTATATGGCATGAAAGAACTTTTCGAACACAAATTTAAATACTTTTTTTTTTTTTTTTTTTTAATTTCTATGTGGAGTAAGGGCCCCTAAAAAGCTCTTTGCAAGAAAGTCCTTTAGAGAGGTTGTTTGGAAGAATATTGCACGGCATTTAGATTCTACCAATTTAGAAACCGAAACTGGAATGGATCTATGAATATTGGTGTCGTAGATATATGACCAGCGATAAATGCACTTCCCTGCTCTCCTCTTGATATTTCATGGGCCTGCATAATAAGTATCGTGGAGCAAGTGGGAGAATTATCGCCTCCGTAAGAATGGTAGGATGAAGAATTATCGCCTCCGTAAGAATGGTAGGATGAAGAATTATCGCCTCCGTAAGAATGGTAGGATGAAGAATTATCGCCTCCATAAGAATGGTAGGAGGAAGAATTATCGCCTCCATAAGAATGGTAGGATGAAGAATTATCGCCATTATATAGTGTCTGTAGGGTTATTACTATTTATTATTTTTTACTGACTAGTTATTTTATGTTTTGGATCTTTACTGTCAGTTCTCATTTCCCTTTCTCTACTGGAAGGTAAATGAGGTAGAATGAGAGAGTATTTAAAAGAAGGTTCCGGGAGTTTAATTCAGAACGCGTTCTGCCTCTCGAGGCCACGTTACTAAGTTAACTAGCTAGATAAGATTGTTTTATTCGACTTTGCGTTATAGTTATCAATAAAAACCTTCTAAAATCTCTTATCTTAAAAATCTTAAATAGTTAACTTCAGATACAGAGATAATTCGCTCGCAGTCTGTTAAGAGTTGTGCTTAGTTTATGCTACCAAAGCAAGTCAAAATTCATAACTGTTAATTTAATTTGCGGATCTGCAGTTTTTGATGATACCATTTGAAGGGGAGCTTCGATTTTGAAGAAAACAATGCATCCTATTTTAGAACAAATACTTTTGTCAAAGAGTTAAAGAATTATGATAATTTTTTATATTTTTATTACCTTCAGTAAGAACTTTAACATTTGCATACGTAGAATACTTTGTTATTACTCTATCATACCAATACTTTACATTTATGAACATCGTATCCCCAAAACTTCTTTTTCGGTCTTTATTTTCTCAATCGTTTGTCAAAGACATATTCTTACAGACAATAACGTGTTTTAAACAATGCATATATTCCTATTTTAGCAAGTTTTAAAAAATTCCATTTTGTTTAAAAATACAAAATTTAAAATTTTATACGTTATCTCCGGTCTTTGTAGTTGAATTTAGCAAAACTTTTATTCTCATTGTAAGAAAAAACACAAAACATGTGACTCTAGCACTGCACAAATTGATCGAAATGTTTAATTTTAAAGTTTGAGATTATATTCAGGGAACGTACACAAATTAAAGAGCGAAGTGTTGCATTTTTATGTAACTAAAAATAAAACGTCAGTTTAGAAAAGAGTTTTTGATGTTGATAGATTAAGAGATGAGCATATCTGTGCAGATTATCGTGAAAAATATTGATCAATATAAAGTTTTTCAAAGAGCAGATCTTATTTACGGAATCTTAGAGTTTGCATTATAGTAAAAACAAGCAGGCTTCAGAATTGGCAGATTGTCAATTCATAACATTGTTTCCAGAAACTTAAAATTAAAATTTTTTCTGGTTTAATATGTATTTTTTATAATGATTCTAAAGTAATAAAACTTCATAAGAATATGAACGTATTTTTAGCGTTTAGAAACGCATAATTTACTTAAAATCGTACGAAAATTCTTTCGCCATGTTATTTTTAACAAAATTATAAATTATGTTGCACACTAGTAAATCATAAAATAATGTCACTGAAGTACATTTAAGGTAAAAAAGAATCAACTTCGCATTTTTCTAATTTATTAACTGACCCCTCAAAGCAAATCTATAATGATATTAAAATCCACATTTTAAATTAAATAACTCTGTCAATTTTTATTGCAGAGAAGGGAAAATTTTTGCATTTTATATTTTTATAATAAATATAAAATTCACCTATAGGTAGGAACCGGGAAAAGTATAAAAAGTTAGATTTCGTAATTTATACAAAATAATTATTTTAAATTTGAAAACGGGAAATCATGAATATTTTAATATTTTGAAACATTTTTTTTAACTGGGAGTATGTGCCTACGAAGAAAGATCACAAAAACGAAGATCACGTAAGAGCTTTTATGGACATGATGTAGCGTTACAAAAGTATCTTGGAAAAAATTTACAGTCAGTTCAGCTTTATTTTAATTCTTCTCATTATATATTATTATACCATTTACTTCTTTTGCCCATTGCTTTCTTGATTAAAATTTGCTTTTTTTCTTTTCTCTAAAGGATTTCACGCGCCTACCGTATCATGGCCTGTAGCAGGATCCCTGATGATTGAACCAACTGAATCGGAAGATAAAGAAGAACTTGATCGATTCTGTGAAGCAATGATCAGTAATTCGCATTTAAGTTTTATAAATGCAATCTGTATGAAATTGTATACTATTAAAGGTTCCAAAATAATATATACTGAAATAAGATATTACATTAAAATATAAAAACTACAAACTAACTAAATTAACTAAGAACTAAACTCAAATACTTTACAAAGGCTAGTAACGCGAAGACTGGCCTTTTAAACTTTACGTATACAGTAAGTAAAATGCGGGAAACTACAATACGTCTGCAAGTTATCAAAGAGAACTAAGTTCTGGCCTCAGACAAGAATGACTGAAAAGCGCGCGCGAGGTAAGGTAACGAAAAGTCTCTCTCTCTAACTCCTTCTTGGCTAAAAGCTACAACTTAAATACTTAACAGTTTGCAAGCTCAATTTGCATAACTAAATCTGTTCGCGTTTATTCTGGACGGAAATGGAAAATAAGAGAGGTTAGTAAAGTTTCAAAATAAAATAAACGTTAGTAAAACTTAAAATCCTTACAACATCATATCAAGAAGCTTTCCTACATGTGTACAGAACATATATCTTAAAGTCTACAACAAGGAATGTGTTGTAGTAACGAGCTGAGGTTCAGTTTAACTTCTCGTTCTAAGCGTATTTGCATCAAAGGAGCAAATAAAGCTAGTAAAAATTCCCTCCAATATTAGGGGCTATGACAGTAGAAGTGGAGTAAATGTGATAGTATGGGTAGAATGGTCAGTCAATGGGTGCATTCCCTTGCACGTTTTTGAAGAAAGATTTATGCCTATCAAGAGACATCTAGATGCAGCCGTTCGAAACTACATCAAAGCTTTATAGGGATGCACGTGGATCTGGTTTTCTTTTTATGCATTATAACCTGTAACTACAATGGCTAAACCAGGATGATATTTTTTTAAAACCGAATAAGAATATACTAGCAAAGCATACCTTCCAATTTAAAGCCCATAGAAAAATTATGAGAAATCTCCGAAGAGTAGTTTTACGGAGAAACTTTCATCCTACAAATCTCAGCGCTTGAATGGAATTTACTTTCCCCAGCTTTAACTAATCCTCTTTTAACAGCGCGAAATTACTTTAATAAGTATAGTAACGAGTTAGTAGATATATATTTTCTACTAATAGTCGCCTTGATCGTTTATAGGAGTTAAAAGTTGCTGGCTGTCGTATTGTTGGATTAGAGTTCGAATTCCCGGAGAAAGCATGTCTGTAAGGATATGCTGTCTGTGCGGCATGCGCGCACTTAAATTATTGCTAAGCTGAAAGCTTTCTTTAGAGGGTTGGTGGTAGGGGAGGAGGGGTGAAACACCCTAGAATACGTCCCTCGGGATGTTTTCCATCAAAAGTGGGACAGAACATTCTGGTTGGTTGGTTGGTAACGGAGGACGGGGACGCCTGATGTCTAACAGAGGTAAACAGGCATGTGTCCCGTGCCCTCCACTAACCAGGAACAACTCCCTGGGGCCTCAAGAGGCCGCCTCGGGAGCTTTTTAGGATGTTAACAAGAGCATTTACATGGCCATACAAGGGCAGATTGCATTCGTTTTACCGTTTTGACATTTGTTGCAATTTGCTATGGTAATTTTGCACATTCACAATAAAATTCAAATAAAAATACAAATTAAATATACAGATACAAAAATACAGTTACAAAATAATAGGATTAAAATACAGGCTCATAGGAAATAAAAATAAAAATAAAAATAAAATAAATAAATAAATAAAAATAAAAAATTAAGTATTATGCATATACAGAAGAGGAAATGTTTAATATATTTGATTGTACATTATTTGAAAGGTGTCTGTAATAGGGACTTATGTAAGTTTTAGGAGTAGACTTATGTCTGTTCTGGTGGGTGTAAAGTCGGTCGCACCGCTCCCCAGTGGTGCACTTTCGACAATGTTCTTAGTGATGAGATGTCTAAATGATCGATGAGTATTGGCCATTTGTAAACAACAACAACATATTCAACTAACATCAAAAATTTGTACTTGTATCCCGAGTTCTTAATGTCTCTCTAAAATTTCGTGGGCATATGTTATTTCACTTTAAGCCTTCATATTCGAGTTTTCACTGCACATTAATGTGTTGCAGTACTACGCATCACTTCAAATAAATTCCTTTAACTAGTTTGGATAAATCAGTTTTTTTTTTTTTTTTTTTTTGTTTTTTTTTTTTTTTTGTTTTTTTTTTTTTTTTTTTTTTTTTCTTTTTACCTGTAAAGAAAATTTCGGACATTAGTTTATTTACAATTAGCAAATTTTTGTACAGCTACGGTCCATTTCATTTATTTGTAAAACTTGAAAAATACAAAAAAACTCCACTGAATGTTTCTCGTAAAGAAAATGCTCAAAACTATGTAAAAAATTACAGTCTTTATTTTCCTATATTAAATTTCGTAGGTACCTTAATAGGCCTATTTGATGTGGGCCACGGAAATATTATAGATTTAAAAAGGTAAAAAATTTCTTGGTATTTATTAATTCATAGATTATGCAGTCATAATTTCACATTTTTTGCATTCATATGCTATACGTTCATAAAATCATGTTTCTGTTGATATTCATAAATTTTATAGTCATATGCTATGTATTCATAAATTTAATACTCAAATTATACTAATTTACAGGTATCAGGAAAGAAATTGAAGAAATTGAAAAAGGCATTTCTCATGCGGAAATAAATGTTCTTAAGGTAAGAAAATTATTTTTGCTATTAGCAGGAGAGATCTGATTTCATGTTATGAACACTGAACTATCATGCATGGATAAATAAGCAATTTGTTCTGAAATATATGTGATACTGATCAGTATGAAAAGTCTGTCAACCTGACTAGTGTCACATATAGTAGTTCAGAAGTGAAAGAAAGTCACGCTATAATGCGATGGCTTTTGGACGCAGCTGTCTTTCATTAAAAACATTTTTTCTGTTGCTGCAGGTAGTTTGATGTATTAAAGGAGTTACGTACTTCTCATGCTCTGACTTGTGTCAAAAACATATGACTGTTTTACTACTCATTCACTGCTTGTATTTTTTGGAATATAATACTCGCACATTGTTTTAAGAAAGGGTTCTAAGTTTAGAGTGTAGTCAGAAATAATGGAGAAAATATTTTAATTTATAATGTCGATTGTTAACCAGTTTTATCACTGTTTGATAATAAGATCTTGTTGTGCTAAAAATAACCAACTAATTATAACAGACGAATAAATAAAGACTACACAAAAGTAACGCATATTGTTAATAAAACCTTCATGCTGACCGAAGCTTCTTTACAAGTTGTTTCAGCCTAATCAAAGAATCATATCTATCGTTTTGTGTAAATGTTTACTTGTTTCTGTTTTACAAATCAGATGTACTCATTAATTCTGAATTTTAATGCTCACTGTTTTACCCAGTGTATTTAAATCTACATTCCCTAGGAATTCCTTAATATCACGTAAATCTATCTTTCCTCCCTCCCTATAAAATGAAAAAATGGCTGAATCATATACAGGACAGTTTCTATGGCAAAAATACTTGTGAATGAGAAGAAATTTGTGAGGAAAACTGCCGCATTCGAAAACTGATAGTTATGTTTTTATTCAATAACGGAAAATAAGTAGCCTTGCTTTTTTTTCCTTCTCTTGTTTTTTTACGGAGGTGCTTAATAATTTTTAATTTCAATGCTCAGTGGTTTACTTCATATAATATTTCAATCTACATTCATTAGGAATTCCTTAAATATCAAGTAAATGCAGTCTGTTAAGCCTGCAAAATTTTCAAAAGCTGCAAAGAAAAGGCGCTATGTAAAATACACTGGTGACCAAAATTAAAGGATAATGACAGAAATAAAACTTAATTGATACTTAATGAAAAATTGTTAATAGAAATTTGTACATAAGCATTATTTAACATAAAATTACAATGTTTGGCAGTTGATTATTTACAAAATATTGAAATTAAAACCAGGTTTATGGAAATCGGAAAATGATGGAAATATTAAGTCACCTCATGTGAAAAAAAAAGATTTAATATGGTACATGGTTACCTCGGACAAATATGCATACCTCACATCTTGAATTCATAGGCTTTACCAAAGCATTGATCAGATCTTGTGGCAGTGCACTTTTCAGCTCCTGGAGGTTAGGGGAGGAATTTGGCAGGCTGAAATTCGGCGCTCTAAAGTATTTCACACATGTTCAGTCGCGTTCAAGTAAGTAAGGTGGCCAATCTATTCGAGTAATATCTTCTATTTGCAAGTATTCTGACACTACATGTGCTCGATGAGGCTGAGTATTGTCATACATTAACAAAAACTGTGGACCAACAGCACCTCTAGACAGTCTAACTTGGGATTCCAATATTTCGTCCACATATCTCCGAGCGGTTACAGAACCTTCTTGAAAGATATGCAGCTCGATGTAGCTATTTGTATGATTCCACCGAATTCCTCCCATAGCTTCCCTTTGATTCTCGTAAAGAAAATGCTCAAAATTATGTAAAAAATTACAGTCTTTACTTTCCTATAATGGGTATATTACACTCATGTCTATAAATTAAGGATAATGCAAAATCAGGCAAAGGAAGAGTTAGAAGCAAAACAAATTTGACTTATTTGTAAAGCTTATTTATTAAACAAAAGGTAAAGAGCAAAAAAAGATGCTATATGTTTGATATTATTAAAAAAAAAATTAGCGAATTTTTCTCCCTGGAGCAAATTACAAAAAAAAAAAAAAAAAAAAAAACTATTTACAAAAAACCAATATTACATGGTTGGTATGATTGTTAATACATTGTATATCTCCCAGACGATGCAATACAGTCCGTACAACGCCTAGGCATGCTGAGTATCAAATTATCAACCTGATCTTGGGGGATATTTCACCACTCAAAAAGCAATGCTCTCCGAAGTTCCGATAGACATGTAGGAGGAGGTTGACGGGTGCAACTCGTCGGCCAAGCATGTCCCACACGTGCTCTACTAGATTCAAGTCCGGTGAGAATGCTGGCGAGTACATACGGGTGATATCCTCCGATTGAAGGCATTCGCTTACGATGTTTACACGGTGAGGACGGGCGTTGTCATCCATAAACACAAATTGTGCGCCCATGGCGCCCCAAAACAAACGTACATGTTGTTCCAGAATGACGTCCCGATAGATTTGGCTTGTCATGGTTCCAATTTGAACATGCAGGTCAGTTCTGGAATCTAGAATAATTCCACCCCAAACGAGCACTCCTGCACCACCGTAACGGTGTCATTCAATGTTGTTTGTAACGGATGTTTTCTTGGTGGTAACGGGTCCCTGGAGCTCTCCATATGAACGTCCGGCGAGAATCAGACTGCAAGCTAAAACCTGGACTCGTCGGAAAACATCACACAAGCCCACTGTTGCGGTGTCCACAATGCATGCTCTCTACTCCAGGCTAACCGCAGGCGACAGTGAGTTGCAGTAAGTGGAACGCATCTGACAGGTCTACGAGCATATAGACCAATTTGCCCTAAGCGTCTGTACACGGTCTGCCTTGAAGTTGTCGTACCAGTGGCTGAAAGAGCTGACGAGACAGGTCTGAGAATGTGCTCCGCCTGTTTCTTTTGGCAGTAACTGCCAAATACCGGTCCTCATTTGGCGTTGTAACTCTGGGGCGACCTGTGCTGTAACGTTTACTCACATTACCATCATCTTGGAATCGTTGCCAAAGCCTGGAGATGACACTCTGGGCAATTCCAAGTTCGTCTGATACTTCCAGTTGGATACGCCCACATTCCAGACGGCCGATAATTCTACCACGTAAAAAATCATCCAAATGCGTCCTTTGTGTCATAACTATTCGGTTATTGCACTGAAATGCTTATAAAGCGCCTGCGAACAATTTTACTTCTTTACCTGTATTCCTTATACTCTCTTACACTCTCGTCACTGTGACGTACCATCCGTGTCATCTGGTTACTTCCTGAAATTTGCATATGATTCTTGAAGATGTGTGTAGTGATTTTACATGTGATATATTTATTTTAGAGTTCGATTTCCGCGTGACTCCGATTTATCCTTAATTTATGGACATGAGTGTAAATTTCGTAGGTACCTTAATAGGCCTATTTGATGTGGGCCACTGAAATATTATAGATTTGAAAAGGTAAACGATACATTTTGCCATATATGTTATTACTGATAAACTGTATGCAAAATAATATAAATTTAGTGACTTCTCACATTTTTTTATTATTTTCTCCCCATAGATGGCACCTCACACTCAGCGTATTGTCTGCTCTTCAAACTGGGACAGACCGTATTCTAGAGAGAAAGCAGCTTTTCCTTCAGTAAATATGTTCCTTCAAAATAAAATGTTTGATTTATTTAGTTTGAGTAACATATATATATATATGTGTGTGTGTGTGTCACGAACAGCAGTTTTTAATGCAGTATACAGTTAATCTCTCACTAAAAATTTGAGCCCCTAACAGATTTTTTTTTTTATTTGAAGCAAAACAGATTGAAATCTTCCATTTCTTCCTTTTCCTGTTTACAGATCACATAGGTGTATAAGTTCATACTTATATGAATATTTTACCTAAAATCACATTTTTGTTATTTTTCTTCCTATTATAATTTATGCAGTAAAACATTTGAAAGAATTTAAAAATCTACTCCAGCGTTCAGTGTTTCATTTGTTTCCTATTACAATCTGAAACTAAATATGGACTTGTCGCAAAAGAAAACTTCTTTCCATTCAGCAAGTCCTAAATCATAATTATTCTTCAATTTCTTCGAGTCCTCCGGTGAGACAAACTCAAGTGGCCTATATGCGCATAATCACGTGTGTGAGGGTGTCTGAGAACCGTTGATACTCTGCTTTTAATTGCCGTCAAAAGCTACTTTTGAGCAGGATGTTTACATCCGTTTCGAAATTCTTTTGTTGGTAATAAATGCCATTATCTGATATGGCAGTTCTTGATCGACCTTAGTAGGATGTCTTCGAACTCCTAATGAAACTGAACTTAATAGAAATCAGAAAATTTACTCATTTCATAGATTCATAAATTTTTTCTCGGGAATATGTCGTTTTTGTGAAGCACATGAAGATCTTTCTCTATATAGTACTCTTTTATTAACTTTGCCATATTTGATTGCATTTAGTTTTTCTTAATGGTGGACTTCATTATGAAAGAGCTATGCAAGTGTATTAATATTTCGGTATCAAATTATTACACAGTTTTTCCGTTCGTATTTTACTATGCATCATTCATTTACTGTCACTGAAAGATGCTTTTATTTCTACAGCTCTCTTTTTGCATGTTTTGATTTTTTCCGATATTTCAGTTTTCTAAATTTGAATGTATAAAATCTACTTTTGACTGATACCTATGTTCTTTTTCCAGAAATTTGTTTCTCCTGAACTGAAACTCTGGCCGACGGTAGGACGCATTGATGACGTTTATGGGGATACTAATCTCATGTGTTTTTGCCCACCTGTAGAAGCATATACTACTGAATAAAAAGGGAGTGCTCAACTTGTCGAATAAACATTCATAAATAATCTTCTGTGTTATTGTACTTTTTGTAGTACAATTTTATTTAATAAGTTTGCCATACTCAGTAAAAAATTAGAAATGGTATTTTGTTTTAATTTTCAGTACTAGAAACATATATTACAACAAGAAAATATTTAGAAAGTAAATGAACAAAAGCAGCGACTGTACTTATCTCAGAGGAACAGAAAAATCTTAAAAAAAAAGGTTTTCCCGTATTAACCCAAAATAGGACTTAAAATGTCCAAATAAGAAAAATTTTTATACGACTTTTCGAATCTGGGAGTTCAAACGAAAATTAATATTATTTGATCCTTTTACAAATTTCTGAAAGAAATTATTTAGCTCACAAAATAGAATCACTTTTCCTGATTAATTTCTTTTTCTTCTTCGCATTCCATAACATTTTTGTCGTCTTAATGAAAGCTTATAGATTATCCTCATTTCTTTCTCGACTTTATTAATAAAATGGCTAATATGCACCATCATACGGAGTCAGTATTCTCTTTGTAATTTTGTGTATATATCGTTTTTTTTTTTTTTTTTTTTAACTAGAAATACTGAATAATACATTAGTCACTTAAGCAAATTAACGAATCAGTTTTTAATTTCGCTCGAAGATGGTTTGCGGAGTCGATTTTAAAAATTCAGATGCTTTAAAATGATAAAAGATGAGAAAAACAACATTAAAATTCTAACATAATCAATAATAAAAAAAAACCAAGATGTATTTTAATAAGTTTAATTTCCCACGATCATCTGAAAGCTAAACTGGCCAAAACTTCTAACTGTTCGTAGAATACCAAACTTTAAAGTAGAAAATAAATTTAAAGCGAATTAATTATCATAAAAATGATTTGTTCTCTTTAAATATTTGTGTATTTTAATTATCTTTAATAAGCGTCAGTAAGACTTCTTGGTCCAAAAGAGAAGACAGGAAGCAAGAAGGTCAACCAGAGGAAGTTAATGAGATTACGTAGCTCAAGAAATGTCTTTTTCTTCGAAGAACACCGAAAAACATCGTAAGAGAAGAGACGCTACTTTAGTGATAGCGGAAGTAACAGTTATTCTCAGTTCCCGTATGATTTAAAGAAAACAAAATTTTTGCAGAAAAAAAAAAAAAACTTTTCAAAGAACGGCAAAACTGATTTTAAAGACATGGTAATGCAAAGCATGACGAAAAGTTAGTTTTTTTAAGACTAATATGCAATCAATAACATCGTTCACTGTGCTTCATGATAGCTGTACAGAAACTGAAAACTATGTACATGGTCTATCAACGTTGTTCAATAAATAAAATGTCTGTCATTAACATTTTTCTTTATGTAGTTTAATTTTAGTTTAACAAAGATTTTCGCAAATTAAGACTACAATAAATTTTCAAATTTCTCAGTTAACTTTCCCATTCTTTAGGTAGCGACCTGCGAATGACTTGTTGCAATTAATGCAATGTTTGGGACTATCTTTCTGCAGTATAAGTAATGCTGAATACCATAGCAGACAAGTATTTAAAAAAAAATTTTAAATGAAGGAAAAATTTCTTAAATTTATTTAAGAATCTTAAATTTTGTTTAAATCGTAAAACTTTAGAAAACTTAAAAATTGCCAAGCGCTTTAAATAGGAAAAGTAGTGTAGAAATCTCAAGGATGAAGTTTTAAATATTACTTTCATTGGCTGAGAAAAATCTTTTTAATAATAATATAAATTAACAAGTAAAACTCCAAATATCTTGTAGTAGTCTTCCCTGATTAATTATTTAATCACTGAAGTAGGTATGTTGATTGAAAAGGTTTAAGACTGATTTTTCAAAGTAATGCAACTATGCAGTCTCTAGGGTTTTTCATTCTTTTTTAAAGCAGAGTCCTTCTCATTTTTATATAGATTTATATAGATTTATAAAAGATTCAAAAACATTTTTATATAGATTTATAAAAGATTCATAAAACATGAGATAGATTATTTTGTGACACCGCTTTTAGCTCAGCTGCCGCGGTGTTTTTAATTTTTTCATCTAAAATTAATCTCATTCCGCACTATGTTTTCAGTATTGAGAATTCCCCAAAATCACATGGGCTCTAGACCTGATTTTGAAAAGCGTGTGTTAGTGCTATCCCATCGATTTCATATAATGGCACTAATGCCATTTGCTAGAGCAAAAAATACAGCTGTTTAGTAAATTCTTCCTTTTCTAACTCATAGCTCACGTAAATTGATTCATCAGAAAACAGCCACTGTTCACTGTCTGCCCATGAGTTAGCAATGTTGACATTGATAACTGCAGTGCCAAAACATACTTTATCGATCATTCCAATGTTATCGTCTCTGAAGTGCCTACAGTACTGAGATACTGAAGTATGGCTAAGTGTTTCTATACCATACGCATGCAGCAATATTTCAAGTGTTTCATTACCGTTCTTCGCAATTTTAACGCAAAATTTAGTAACCCATTTGCGGTATTTCACAGAAACATATTCCTTATCTGCCTCATCAAAATATACTAGGTGCTTACTCTTGCCATGATCAACTACTAAAGACTATGTCCGTCAAAATGCCGGTTCAGACACGTCAAAGTATAAACTTCACGAAACAAAGTACAGGCTGCTACAGTTATCACCGGGGAAAGGAAATAAAAGCAATCTAAAAAACTTTTCAATGAACCTTTTGTACCATCACAGGAGAATCTTTATTTCAGATTTCAGGTGGTTAGGGTTTTTTAAATAAGCTGTAAATTTCCTTTGGGTTAATTAACCAGTTAGTTTATGTTTTGAATCTTTACTGCCGCTTCTCCTTTCTATTTTCCAGCCAGAATGCTGTAAGACAAGTTCTGCCTCTCCAGTCCACGTTACTAGCTTGTTACATTAGATAAGATTTTGAATATCCATGCTGGTTACGTTTTGAGCCAACTTCGCGTTAACTGATCTGTGTAGTCTTTGGCTACTAATTTATTTAAATTAAATTTTACATTTGACCTACTGTTACTTTAAGAAATCTCGCCACAAGTGATTGGCAGAGTTGTAAACACTAAGTGTGCCTTCTGTTCTTCTTTAATTTTAAGTAAAGAGTCTTTTAAACCCTTCTCAAGTTTCAGTATAAAATTGGTTTATGCTTTCTTCGGCTCCTGAAAGTATGTTATTTTTTCGGTAAATATTATTTTGTGGTGTTTTATTTTGTGATATTTTGAAGCTAAATATGTTCCGGTTGTGATATTATATCACATTTTATGTTTTTGAGATGATTTGATGAACCTAAGGATGTTTGCATTTTTGTGCGTGTACGTGGCTTGTCGTGCTTCGGCTTCTGTTTTTTGAGTACCATTTCTACGACATAAGAAGTCCGAACTGATCATCAAACTGTAAGTACTTTAATTTCTACCTTATTCTACTATTTTAAAAAGGCTACTGGCTGGACAATGCCTTTACAAATATGTCAAACAATTCAGACAGAGCCAGTTGAGTCTACTGCTTTATTCGCAGATGGACGAACTATTTTAAGTTCTTTAGAAACTGTATTGGAATCCGCAGAGGCGTAGCTAGGGTTTTCGGCGCCCGGGGACAAGTGACGATTTTGCGCCCCTTTCTCTGTGCCAAAGAATGGAAAACATTTTATTCTAAAATTTCGTAACATCAGTTTGGCGCCCCCTGAACGCTGCGCCCCGGGGACAGATGTCCCCCCTTGCCCCACCCTAGCTACGCCACTGGGAATCCGGGATAAATAGGAAAAGGCTAGTTCATTCCTTTGTTGGACTCCTCACCGACGCGAGCCTAATAGGGGAGTTAGTTTTCCTTTTATATCCTATATTATAAAATATCGTTTATGTAATATGGCTTTTTGCGCTGTAGTAACGAGCCGCAACAGTTATAGTAATACGAAAGGATGAGATATCGTATTTCATGGGACCAAAGGACCCAAATGACAAAGAATGGAACAAAGAATGGCTACATAAATGTCAAATACAAGATTCTATCAATGGGGAGAGCGTAAAAATCTGCAGTATCTATGAAGATGATATGAAACATCGCTTGTCTAGATAGCCACGAAAAGAAACTGTTGAAATGCAATGCTGTGCCGAAAGTAAATTTACCGTGTGCCGTAAACGAAATAATACCAAGAAATCGGAGACAAGAGAAAAGGAAACTAAATGCACAATACTTTTGAAAGAAGCGCAAAGAAAGCCCAATTAATCCCAAAGGAAATTTATTTTAAGGTCGAAAACGAAATTGATGATGACAATAATAAATCAAATGTGAATAATTTTGGAATAAAACTCACAAATGGAAATGTAGATATCCCTGAATGTCCTAAGTTAAACAAGAATGCATTGATAATTTGAAGAACAAAAAAATATCCTTAGAAAATTGTATTAAAATATTAAGAAATAGAGAAAAGAAAAATTTTAGAATGTTTGTTCAGCGATAAAGGTGGAAGACATCTAGAAAAAATTGTTATCATTAATTCAGAAATTAAAATCTCAAATAGCGAAATTTAGGAAAAAAAATGGCATAAATCGGAGAATTTGGAAAAACGTCTAAAGCATAGTTTTACAAAGACATAGATTAATGCATTGCTGAAAAAGAGGGGAAAATCAGGTGGACTAGTAAAGGTATTTCATGCTGCATTGTCCTAAGAGCTCTGACATCTTAAAGCTACAATTTTTGGAAAGAAAAAATTGGAATTCCTTTATCTAGTATTAGCAAATTAAAGAGGAGTCCAGTAATTCGAAGTGATGTTCTTTCTCTAAAGAAGGAAAGATGCGAATATTTGAATTCTGTAGAAAAAATATACGTTCTCAGTTTCGACGAAATGCATATAGATTCAAAACTCTGCTATGACTCTAAATTGGACCAAATTCTCGGTTCTTTTAAAAGTGCAGCTTATTTTAGAGGTCTCATTTCGCGCTCTGCCCCAAATTATTGAGAAAGCACGTTTTAGGTAAAGGATTATTAGTGATGGATGTTTAAATTTGATATTATTAAAAGAGGTTTTAAAAAAGATTCAGAAAGAAATCAAATTTGTACAAAAAGAAAAACGAATTATTTAATGGTCAAGGGGGAAAACGAGAGACAAAAGTTCGCTCCAGCGAAAGCAA